ACAACATGAAAAGACTTGAGAATGCTCACGAATTTAAGGACCGGCTATTCCCTAACTGATGAAATTTGCTGCCAACTCCTTGTTGGAGAAGTGAGAGACTGAGGATGCAGAATAAAACACATGTTTTCAGCCACAGCCAATGTGGGAATTTGTTTAAATTGAGGATATATACTTGTTGCAAGGGGCTTTGGGGTTTTTTTTTCTTTTTCCAATAGTGGTACCAGAGGGCAAGGGATAGAGATAGGGATAGGATGACAAAGAGAAAAAGGAAAAAAACAGCCAGCATTTATACAAACATTTTACATGTATTATCTCGTTTGTTTCTCACAAAAGTCCTGTGAGATAGGTACTATGATTATCTCCATTTTTACAGATGAGGAAACTGAGGCTACCAAAGTAAATGACCTAAGGTCATACAAGTAGTGACTTGGCGTAGTGGATAGAGAGCTGGACTTGAGTTCAAATCTAGCTTCAGACACATTGTGGTGGGACCCTGGGCAAGTCACTTCACCTACCTCAACCTTACTTTCTTCATCTGTAAAATGGGGATAATAATAGCACCTATCTCTTGAGTTTTGTGAGAATCAAATGATAAGAGTATTTGTAAAGTGTTTTACAAACTTTAAAGCACTAAACAAATGCCATTATTCATTATTGGTAAGTAGTTAAGGCAAAATTCAAAGCCAGACCTTCCCACCTCCAAGTCTACTCTGCCTTAGATCACCACCCAGCTGCTTAGGGGGAATGGAGAAGAGGATCATCCAGGTACTTTTTTTTCCTTGAAAAAAAATTTTTTTTTGTTGGCTAGGCAATTGGGGTTAAGTGACTTGCCCAGGGTCACACAGCTAGTAAGTGTCGTGTCTGAGGCCGCATTTGAACTCAGGTCCTCCTGACTCCAAGGCCGGATCTCTATCCACTGTGCCACCTAGCTGCCCCTTGAAATTTTTTTTTTAATCAGTAAAAGTTTTCCTTCTCTCCTTCCTCTCATCTCTCCCCAAGGGAATGACAGAAAAAAATGTCATGTTGCAGACATGCATAGTGAAGCGAAACACATTTCCACAAATTGCCACACCCCAAAGAAAAGCGTGTGCCTCATTCTGTGTCCCAAGTCCTTCCTCCCTCAGTCAGTAGTCCAGGGTTGTGACTCATAACTGACCAGAATTCCAAAATTTTCTCAAGTTCTTTGTCTCTACCCCACTGGCTCACATTTCTTAGAGCACATTCACATACCATAACTTGCTCAGCCAGTCCCCACTTGATGGGCATCTGCTCAGATCTTTGCCACCTCAAAAAGAGCTAGAAATATTTTCATACATTCTCCTTGACTTTCTTTTGCTTCTGCTTAACCTTTCCCTTAATCTACCCTCCAAGTCCTCTGATTCTTCTTTCCTCCTATTTCCCTGGGGAGTGAAATATATTTCTGTACTCAACTGTGTGTGCATGTATGTGCATGCATGTGTACGTGTGTACATGCATGTGCGTGTGCATGTACATATATCCCTTCATCCTTTGACCAGTTCAGATGAAAGTGAAGGTCAGGTGTCAGTCACTTCCCCCACTTCCTCCTGGAGCACCCCAATTCTGTGAGCTCCTTTTTCCTAATGTTACTCTTTGGTCCCCTTTTCTACCCTTTCCTACTCTTTCCTACCCTTTGCATCCTCCTTTTCAAATGCAGCCAGAAGAGATCCCCTCCTTGGCGAAGCAGCATTTCTTCTGATTTAAATGTAAGCAGTTGGTCCTTGTTTAAGTCCCTTGTAATTGCTGGTTCAGCTTGACACTCCTGTATTTGAATCTCAGAGCTTCTCTACAGCCCTGGCAGTCCTTGAGTTCATTGAAGGCTCATTTTCCCTACCACCTCCAGGCCCAAAGTCCTCTGTAACCTAACTCCTCCATCCTTTGCAGCCTTTTTACACTTAGGCATTTCTATGTACCCTTTGGTCCAGGGACATCGGCCGCCTGGCTGTTTCTCCACTGTGACATACAATCTCAATGACTCAATCAGAGACAGCTAGAGAACATTGGGCATGGAGTCAAGAAAACCCAAGTTCAAATTCAGTCACTGACTAGCTGTGTCATCCTGGACAAGTCACTTTACCTCTGTCTGCTTCAGTTTCCTCCACTGTAAAATGAGGATCATAATAGTAGCTACCTCCTAGGGTTTTTATGATAAAAAATTGAGATATTGGTAAAGTACTTACCAGGGTCTGGAACATAGTAGAAACTTAAGAAATGCTTATTTTCTTCCTTTCTCCCTCCAATTCCATGTCTTTGGATTGGCTGACTCTCTTTTCCAGAATGCTCCTGTCTTCTCATCTGTACCTTCTAGTCTCCCCGGCTTCCTTTCATACTCAGCTCAAATCCTTTCTAATGGAGGAGATCTTTCTGGGTCCCCCACATTGCTAGTCCCTTCCCTGAATTTTCATCTACACTGTATATGTATATACATATACATATATATATGTGTGTGTGTGTATGTATATATATATCAATATATCTATATCTATATCTATCATATGTTATCTCCTCCGTTAGAGTGAGAGCTCTAGGGCAGGGGATACCTTTGCCTTTCTTTGTATTCCTAGCACTTAGCACAGTGCGTGGCACACAATAGGCACTTAATGTTTGGTGACTGAAAAGTTATATAAGATATAAGAATTTAATAATACAAGATATACTAGACAAGTGTTGAAGGGAGGAAATATTACTGTGGGTAATTATCTTCAGGGAAAGCTTCCTACAAGTGAGATTTGTCCTAAAAAACCCCCCAAAACTAGATAGAATATTAAAACCTACCAGCAAATATGGAGACTGTTTCTCTCTCAGCCAATTAGTCACTGAGCAATTCAGGGTAAGTGAATGAAACATCACATGCCTTGATTTCTCTGAGGCTTCCAGGCAAGCAAGAGCTGGAAAGCACCCTAATGGTCTTGGAGGCCAGTCCCCTTACTGTACATAGGAGGAAACTGAGGAACAGAAAGGGGAAATCATTTGCTCAAAGTCACAGGGGGCTAAGTGTCAAAGGCAGTATCTGAATCCGGGACCTCAGACTTTAAATCAAATGGTCGTCCACTGTAACAGGAGGGAGCCCCCTCCCCCCCAAAAAAAAGAAATCAAGAAAAAGCAAATAATAACTTAGTTTCATTTTTTGGAAAAAGAAACATAAAGTATCCAGCTTACTTTTTATATAAAAAAACAGGTGCATGGAAACTTCAAGCTATGCCACAAATTATTAAAAATGTTTCACAATTTTGTATTCTGGCCAGGAAAGGGATGGGGGTGGGTGGAGGAGAGAGAGAGCAAAGAAAGGCAGAAAAGGGGAGGGGCAATATGAGACCCCCTTTCATCAATGCCTGCTGAGCTCTCATTAGCTGCCAGCTGAGAACTGTCCTTTTCTGCCCTAGGAAACAGCTGGTATACTTTTCAATGCTTGCAGCTGCTTTTAGAAATAAGATTTGTTTGCCCATTGAATTCAGAAGCTTCTTAATGAAGGAATGGTTTAGGATTCTAGAATTTCCTTTAGAAGCCCAGCAAACCAAGACTAAAATGACCTGTCTCTAGGATCCCAGGTGAGAGGTGCCTGAGATTGCTAACAACTTCCAGAAGCCTGCATTAACATTCACAGTATGGCATGGGGCCTTGCTCTTGGAGAGATCAGGCAGCCTCTGTCCACAGTGCAGGTGTTGCACAATGTCTGGTTATATACTAAAACTCAGAAGTGGAGACCACCTGAGGCCAAGTAGTGCCTGTCCCAGAATCCCCACTGCAATAGCAGTGACAAGTGATCATCTTTTTCTTGAGGATATTTAGTGAGAAGGTATATACACAATCAAAATACCTATTCTTCAGTCTTGTCTCTCTTAGAACTGAAAGAAGTCATTCAGAATGTTCTAATGACTGACTGATCTTGAGTTTCCTCACAAGTGAATTTTAAACCAAAGGAACGAATAATGGGGGAATTGAGGTGGGAGGAAGATAGAGGAATATGAGTGGGGGAGGCTTTTCAAAGTTGTCCATAGAATCACAGGATGCTAAAGTTAGCAGAGTTCTTGAGGTTATCTAGTCCAACCTACTAATTCTACTGATGCCCACTGAGGTCTAGAGAAGGTCAGGGACTTTGTTAAGGCTCCCCCCACCTTTTAACATTTTAGGGCCACACCAGAGGCTTATCCTACCTAGTCTCTCCCGGCATTAGTGGCACAGACCAGTGTTGAGCCTCTGACCTTAGACACTTATTGGGTGACTCTAGACAAGTCACTTAACCTGTCTATGTCAGTTTTTCCATCTGTAAAATGAAGCTAATATTGTACCTGAACTCATAGGGTTGTGAGGATCAAACAAGATGTTTACAAAGGGTTTAATGTAGTGCCTGGCACATACCGAACTTCCTTCACTATTGAAAAGAATGGGCAACACAGAGCCAAGGTAGCAGAGCCCCTCACAGGATAGCTGAGGATGGTCTAAGAAAGAGTGCCAATATGAAAATGCCCGAGGCTGGAACATCCTGGTTTTGATACAAAACCCGAGGGCAGGACGGGGAGAGACCCATCGCGTGGGCTCAGTGTCCTGGCCAAAGGGGCTTCCCAACCTCCCTCGCAGAAACTGCCCGGCGGCTGCAGGGACAAAGCTACAGTCCCGCTTACTCGCACAAGCCTCGGTGCGGGAGGCTGCCGGGCAGCAGGCCCACCGGAACAGCTCCGGCAACGCAAACAGCCCAAAAGCTCAGGCCCAAGTAAGTGTTATTTAAATAACGCCCCGCCCCCGTCGCCCACGCTCGACACCGCCCAGTGTGCCGCGCCTTCGCGTGACGTCAAGAGCACCGGCAAGCTAAGTGGGCACGCCCCTTGCGGCTCATGCTGCTTCTCCATTGGCTGCTGAGCTCGATTTTTAAAAAGCCGAAGCGACTCCGCCTGGGCCTAGGCAACAGCACTGCGGCCCTGGCTCGCGTATTGGTTAGCTAAAGACCAATCACAGACGGGCTCTGTTCTCCGGTGGCAGTTTTCAAAATTGGTTCCCGAGCACAAGCGGTGCTCTGCACACTGCGAGTTCCTAGCGGGGTAACAGAGCAGCAGCTGCTCTTGCTAGTACCGAATACTGCGGCTACGGAGAGCCGGAGCCTTGGGCAGGTAAGGCGGACGGGATACCGGTTCTCCGCGTGACTCGGGGAGGGAAGGGAAGGGAAGGGCAGGGCCGGCTGCATTGGGCAGCTGGCACCTTGAGCTCCTGATGCTTGTGAGCGGTGCGTGTGAACCGGGACCGGTGTGCCTGCCTGCCCAGGGGACCTGCCACCTGTGTCCCCGACTCGTGACCCATAGGAGGCCTGCGCGGAGCCCTGGGGACCCCTTCTGCAGCGAGTACCTCCTGGAGGCTCTTGGGGGACGAGTCGCCCCCCGGGCTCCCTAGCAGCGGTGAGGCCCCGCCTCCCGAAGCCCCCGAAATAAATCCCCATACTCTGCGGGACACGAGACCCTGCCCCCGGGAGCATCCAGAGGCCCCCCTGCGGGAAACGAGGTCGCAGCCCTCAAAAGTCTCTGGAGCTGTCAGTGGAGTACGAGGCCCAGACCTCGCTTAACACCTACTTCTTCCCTCGGCCTCAGGGCACGTGGCACCCAAACTCAGTCCCCCAGAGAGACCCCCCGCCCCCAACGTGGCACTAAGCCCGGCCCCCTAGTCCTCCAAGTACATTTCCGCACCCACGAGGTACGAGGCTCCGCCTCCTAGTACTCTAAGAGCACCCCCCCTTCCCCGCCTCGAGGAACGCCCCTATTATCCATAAAGAAATAACACCCCCAGCCCCGCGGCTTGGTGGCACGTTCCGCACCCACAAATCCCCAGCCTCCAGCAAGTAGCCAAGCCAAGTTCGCAGTTGGCCCACCCTCGCGGAGCACGGGGCCCGCCCCCACGGTACCAGATAGCCTAGCTAAGTCCTGCTCTTCTTCCCCCCCCCCAGCACGAAGCCCAGCCCACCAACAACCTCGCCCTCCACGCGCCCCTCTACTGAGCTCCGCCCCCCGGCTAGACAGCCAGTGAGCTCTGACCAGGGTCCTGTCAGGAGCAGCTGCTGCAGGCTCCAGTGAAACCAGGCCTAGAGAGGCTCGAGGTTCAAGTGAAGACCGCAGGCCAAGGTCCACAGGCACGAAGCAGCATAGCATAGCGGGGCGCCCTACGGCCTAGGCCACAGAGCAGAGGAAAGCAGGGGAAGATACGGCCGGCGAGATGGGCAGCCCTGGATGGGCGGGGGGGGGGCTCCCTACGTCCCACTTTTACCTGAGCTCCCCCCATTCCTCCCCACTTTTCCGGCAGCATCCCCCATTTCTCCCCACCTTTACCTCAGCTCCCCTCTTTTCTCCCCCCTTTTACCTCAGCTCCCCTTTTTTCTCCCGACATTTACCACACTTCTGTCTGTTCCCTCTTTTCTCCCCACCTTTACCTCAGCATCCCTCTTTTCTGCCCACTTTTACCTCTGCTCCCCCCATTACTCCCCACTTTTACCTCAGCATCCATGTTTTCTCCCCGCTCAGCTCCCCTCATTTCTCTCTGGTTGGTCTCAGTTCTCAATCTTTTCTCCCCACTTTTACATCAGCTCCCTTCTTTTCTCTCCACTTTTCCCTCAGCACCCCTCTTTTCTCTACCATTTTACCTTAGCTCACCTCTTTTCTCCCCATCTTTCCCTCAGCACCCCTCTTCTCTCTCCACTTTTACCTCGGTAGCCCTCTTTTTCCTTACTTTTCCTCAGCACCCGTCTTTTCTATGCACTTTTACTGTTCTCTGTTTCCCGTCTTTTCCCCCACTTTTACCTGAGTTCCCCCTCTTTTCTCTCTGCTTTATCTCAGTTCTCCATCTTTTCTCCTCCCTTTTACCTCTGTTCCCCCTCTTTTCTCTCTACTTTTACCTTTACACCTCTCTTTTCTCCCACTTTTACCTCTGTTCACTTTTTCTCTGCACTTTTACTTCAGAACCCCTCTTTTCTCCCCACCTTTAGCACTTATTTTCCTCCTTTCTCCCCGGTTTAACCTCTGCTCCCCTTCTTTTCCTACCCATGTTTACCTCAGGTCTTTCTTTTTTCTTCTTTTTTTACCCAGTTATTCTTTGATTCCCCCCATTTTTATTTCATCTTCTTTTCTTTCATCCCATTTTACTTTAGCTCTGCTTCTTTTTTTCACCTTATTTTATATCAGCTTTCTTTTTTCAACTAAGTTTTACCTCAGTTCCTCATCCTTACCCCATTTTGTTTCTGCTGCATTTTTTCTCTTCCTCACATTTTTACTTTAATGTGCCTTTTTTTGCTGTATTTTTTACTTCAGCTCCCCATTTTCTCTTAGCCCCCTTTCAATCTCAGCTCCCTTTCTTTTCTTCATTCCAATTTTACCTTAGCTACATCATTTTTCTTCAATCCAGTTATACCTTAGCTCCTTATCTTTACCCCATTTTTACCTCTGCTACTTTTTATTCACTCCATTTATTCACCTCCCTTTCACCTGTTTTCACCTTATTTTTAACTTCACTCTCCTTCATTTCACTCCATTTTCCCCCAGCTTCCCTTCATTTCTTTATTCCACTTTTATGTCATTCCCCTTATTTTACTCCTGTTTTACCTCAGCTCCTTTTCTTTACCTCTGTCATTTCTACCTTAGTACCCCATCTTTTCTTTATTCCATGTTTACCTCAGGTTCCCCTTCCTTCATCCCATTTTTAACCCAGATCACTTTTTCTTTTCTTTGTTTTGGTCAGGGTTAAGTGCCTTGCCCAGGGTGGCATAGCTAGTAAGTGTCAAGTGTCTGAGGCCAGATTTGAACTCAGGCTCTCCCGACTCCAGGGCTGGTGCTCTACACTGTGCCACCTAGCTGCCACCCTCAGATCCCCTTTTTACCCCATCTGTACATCAACTTCCTTTGCTCAATTTTTATGTTATTTTGTTATTTCTACTTTTCCCCACTTTTACCTCAACTCCCCTTTTTTTCTTCACCTCACTTTTATCTCAACTCTCCTTCACTTTGCCCTGTTTTTTATTTCATCTCCCTTCTTTTCACCTGATTTTCAACTCTGCTACTTTTTTTGTCTTCACTCCATTTTTATCTGTGATCCTCCCCTCATTTTGCCCTATTTTTATCTCACTACTCCTTTTGGTTACCCTATTTTGACCTCAACTCCCCTTTTTTATACCGTTTTGAACTGCTCTTCCCTTCTCTTCAACCCATATTTATATCATTCTCCCCTTTTTTATCTCGGCTCTCTATCCTTTCACCCCCTTTTCCCCCTCAGCTCTTCTTCACCCCATTTTTACCTGAACTCCCTTTCTTTGCTTTACCTCATTTTTACCTCATCTCCCCTTCACTTCATCACATTTTTCTTAGCTCTCCCACCTCTTTGCCTCATTTTTTCCTAGATCCCCTACCTGTCTTTACTCCATTTTACCTCAATTCTTCTGCCTTAATTCATCTGAGTTTTACCTCAACTCCACTGCCTTAATTTATCCCATTTTTACCTTAGCTCCCCTGCCTCTCCTTATCCAGTTTTCCTCAGCTTTCCTGCCTCTCACTACCCTATATTTACTTCAGTTGTTCTGCTTTTCCTCATTCTATTTTTTCCGTATTCTTACTTTACTCTATTCCCCCCTCCCACTTCCTCTCTTCAGCCATTTCTACTTTTACCTCAGTTTACCTCTCTATACCTTTTTTTACCTCTGCAGTTCTTCCCCTTCTTTTCAGTTTTCCTTAGTGCCCCCCTCTTTCTTCACCTGTCTTTCCACACCCATTTGTGCATTGTGCAAATCCCTCACTGACTCACCCCTTTGGTGGCTGGACACACAAGGAAGTTGGGGACGTTTGGTGTAAAGAGAAGTCGGGCTTCTCTTTGGGGTAAAGTAAAGAGAGCCCAGGAAGGTCAGGCTCCCTTTCCTTTTACCCCCTCAACCTTTGACCTTATTTCAAAGTCATACTTCACCTATTGGAACTTCATTTTCCTCAACTAAAATGACTGTTGGAATTGTGAAATACCCAAGGTAAAACCTTTGAGGACTTCAAAACCCAGTCAAAATGGCAGATTTTTGGTTGTTTTTGGTTATTTTTGTTGTTGTTGTCTGTTTTTTCATGTGCTCTTAATTTAAATGTGAATCTTTGGTTTGTTGGCAGCTCCTACTTCCCCTCTCCAGGCTGCTGTTGAGGGTGAGAGGCCCTGGCTTTTGGCCTCTTTTTTCTTCTGACCTTTGGCCATTCTTGGAGTGGACAATGTAACTGCCCCAAGCTTGGCCAGGACAGTCATAGTATGGAGACCACCTGAATGACCTAGTTAGGATAGTAAAGCAACAGTGGAGTGACCCTAGTTTGGCTAGCCTTGTGGCCCATGAAGCTTCATCCCATTCCTTTAGGGCTTGATGTGCCATCCCAGCAGAGTTTTCTAGTTCCTTCCACTCCTTTGTCTTGGATTTATACTGCTTTTATTTTTTTTTTTAACCTGGTGAGGGTTTGAATCTAGTTATTCAAACTCTCAGGATTTCAAATTGCATTGTTTTTTGTCTTTTGCCAGGGCTTTGTTTTTCCTTCCCCCCCCCCCCCATGGGGAGAGAAAATAGATTTTTGGTATTTTATGATCTGAAAAGAATGCATTTAGTATTTGTGCTTTTCTGCATTTGGTTGTGAGGTTTTTATGCCCTAATACATGGTCAGTTTTTGTGTAGGTGCCATATACCACTGAGAAAAAGGTATATTTCTTTCTATCCCATTCAATTTTCTTCAGAGATCTATCATATCTAATCTTTCTAAAATTCTATTCATCTCCTTAACCTTCTTTCTTGTTATTTTTTGGTTAGATTTATCTAATTCTGAAAGGCGAAAGGTGAGGTTCCCTCACTAGTATAGTTTTACTGCCTATTTCCTCCTGTAACTCATTTAACTCTTCCTTTAGGAATATAAATGCTATACCATTTGGTGCATATATGTTTAGTATTGATATTACTTCATTGTCTATGGTACCTTTTAGCAAAATGTATTTTCCCTGATTTATTTCTCTTAATTAGATCTGTTTTTGCTTTTGCTTTGTCTGAGATCATTATTGCTACCCTTGCTTTTTTTTTTTTTTAACATCAGCTGAGGCATAGTAGATTTTGCTCTGTATCTGTCTCTCTCCTTCAGATGTGTTTCTTATAAACAACATATTGTCATGTTCTGGTTTGTAATCTACTCTGCTATTTGCTTCTGTTTTATGGGCAAGTTAATCCCATTCACAGTTATGATTACTAACTGTATTTCCCTCCATCCTATTTTTCTCTTTGTTTATCCTTCTCTGTCTCTCCTTTCACCCCATCCCTCCTCATAAGTGTTTTCTCTCCATAACCCCCTTCAATCTTCCCTCCCTTCTATTACCCCCCCCTTCTGTTATCCTCCTCCCCTCCTACTTTCCCTGTAGGGCAAGATAGATTTCTATACCCAACTGAGTGTGTATATTATTCCATTTTTGAGCCAATTCTGATGAGAGTAAGTTTCAAGTGTTGCCTGCCACCTTCCCCATCTTCCCCTCCACTGTAAAAGCTCTTCCTTTTGAGCCTCTTTTATGTGAGATAGTTTACCCCATTCTATCTTTCCCTTGTTCCAGGGCATTTCTCTTTTTCACCCCTTAATTTTATTTTTTTGAAATCATCCAATCATAGTTAACTCACACCCATACCTTCTGTTTAAGTATACTCCTTCTAACTGCCGTAATAATGAACAAGTGTCATTTTCCCACGGAGGAATGCAATTTAACCTTTTTGAATCCCTTATTATTTCTCTTTCCTGTTTACCTTTTTATGCTTCTCTTGAGTCTTGTATATGAAAGACAAATTTTCTGTTCAGCTCTGAGTCCTCTGTTTTGTTAAATATCCATTTTTCCCCTGAAGGCTTATCCTCAGTTTTGCTGGGTAGGTCATTTTTGATTGTGATTCTAGCTCCTTTGTCTTCTGGAATATCATATTCTAAGCCTTCTGAGCCTTTAATATAGAATCTGCTAAATCTTGTGTGATCCTGACTCTGGCTCCATGAATTTGAATTGTGTCTTTCTGGCTGCTTGCAGTATTTTCTCCTTGATCTGGAAGCTCTGGAATTTGGCTATAATATTTCTTGGAGTTTTCCATTTGGAGATCTCTTTCAGAAGGTGGATTCTTTCAATTTCTATTTTACCCTCTGGTCTTATGGCAGTTTTCCTTGGTAATTTCTTGAAATATGATGTCTATTTGATCATGGCTTTCAGGTAGTCTAATAATTCTTAAAATTCTCTCCTAGATCTATTTTCTAGGTTAGTTGTTTTTCCAGTCACAATAGGTCACATTTTCTGGTATTTTTTCATTCTTTTAATTTTGTTTTGTTTTATGATGTCTCATGAAGTCATAAACTTTCACTTGCTCAATTCTAATTTTTAAGGAATTACTTTTTTCAGTGAGCATTTGTACCTCTTTTTCTATTTGGCCAATCCTACTTTTTAAGGTGTTCTTTCCTTCAGTGAATTTTTATGCGTCTTTTACCAAGCTGTTGACTTTTTCATGATTTTCTTTCATCACTCTCATTTCTTCCCCGGTTTTTCCTCTACTGCTTTAATTTGATTTTAAAAATCCTTTTGGAGCCCCTCTAGGAATTCCTTTTCGGCCTGTGACCAATTCACATTTTTCTTTGAGGGCTGTTATGTAGTTTTGACTTAGTTGTCTTCTGCATTGGTGTCTTGAATTTCCATGTCACCACAGTACCTTTCTTTAGGCAGGTTCTTTTTTCATAGTTTGCTCATTTTCTACTCTCTTCCTTGACTTTTAACTTTATGTTAAAGTTGGGCTCTGCTCCTAGGGTGGAAAGAGCATTGTCCCAAGTTTCACGTTTTTCATGCTGCTGTTTTCAGAGCTAGTTTGAAAGGTGTGTGTGTGGGGGTATCTATAAGTTTTCAGTTTTTCCAAGGTAGTATGATCTAAGGAGAGGTGTGGTCACTGCTGTCCTGGCCTGTGCTTTAGTCTTTGAGCGACCCCACATATACTCTTTCCGCCTTGGAAATGTGACCAAGGTCCTCATTCCCCTGGGGTCACAAATGCTACCACTTTGTCCTGGGACTGTAACTAGAAAGTACACAACAGAGTAGTATACCCAGTGCCAACAAAGAGCCCCCTGTAATCTCCTTCAGAGTACTTGTCTGACTCCCTTACCATCTGTGGGTTGAGAGCTACTGAAGCCACCCACACACATGCCCCCAAGGCCTGCTGGGGCTTGGCCTGGGCTGTGCTCCACTCTCACTCCAGTGAAACAAACCTTTCCTGCTGCCCTCCTGAATTGTCTTGGGCTGGAAAATTGTTTCGCCCCGACTGTTGGTTGGTTCTGCTGCTCCACAATTTATGTTGAGATGTTATTTTAAAGATGTTTAGAGAGGAATTTGGGAGAGCTCAGATGAGTTCCTGGCTTTACACTACTATCTTGGCTCCACCTCTATTTGTTATTTTATAAAAAACAAAATTTAATTAAAAAGATATAACCAGTAACTTAGATAAATCTCTCCTCTGCTTTAAGGGTGTGTGTGTGGGGGGGTCCTGCCATTTGCTCTTTTCAGCTTGGTATTTTTGTTGTCCTTTTGCCATGAGGGCATCAAATGTCAGCAGCACCACCCTTAGTGGGGAGGGGTACCTTGTATTTACTCTGTACAAACTTTAACCATTTGTACCTTCTATAAATGTTCTTGAATTCTCACTGAAATGTTGTTATACAAATGCAACCTAACAATTCCTTGCTGTATGTCGCTGGGCCTCCTAAACTGAGGTCCCTGAGCTCTTTGGATAACTAGTCTTGCTAGGCTCCATGGCCTTGACAGGATTAGGACCCAAAGAGAAGTGTTACTGTAGCTGTAGGGGCAGATGGGAATGTTGCCCCCTGCAGGTGCAGGTTCAAAGCCTGGAGGATGGGGGGGAGTTGGGTCTGTCCTTCTCCTACCCACAACAGATAAACACTTGTTGGTTGCTTAGTGACTTTAATAAAACTTCCCCTTATCTTCACTGGAAAAATAATCTGGAGATCTGGCAACAGCATCTCTGTTATTAAGTGTCTTCTTTGTCATGCAGATGAACTTTAAGTGAGTGGGAGAAGTTCCTTTTGGTGTTCTTAGCTAAAGGGAAGGGACCCTTCCAGTCTAACTTTGTATAGTTAACTTTGGGGCTTGAAATAGCCCGATAACTCATAAATATTTTCCAAGGGAGACCAGGGAAGGTAATAGAGGGGAGGGGTGGGAGAAATTCTGAAGCAAAATAAGCTAGGTTCCAAATATTCCAGGCACTGCCAAAGATCTAAACATGGATGAAAGCAAAGTGACAGTGCCTTGGTGCTTGTTTAACAGTTTGTCTCCTTTGTGTTTTGGAATAAACAGTTTTAAATGTTATGTTACCCATTCAACACTGCTGTTTAGAAGAAGCAGACTCAGTCTGATAAAAGTGAGACTGGTCCTAGATAACATCAGTGTGTGTTGCTAACGTGAGTTCTTACGCAGTCCCTTCAAAATAATTAAATCATCAATCCTGTTTCTAGGATAGATGAAAATCTACCCTAGAAATTGTTTCTGGGCTCAGTACCGAAGGCCATAACTCTCAGTGTCCATAGATATGGATTCCTGGTGTCAGGGAAGAGCTGGGGTCTTTTCCCTCAGTGATGACTGTTCCCAAGGGCCTCCGAGTCTTCTGCTAAAGGGTGCTGTGCCTTTCTGACTACAGCAGGACTGTGGAGGAGCAACTTCTGAATCTGTAGGAGATGCCAGTGCCTCGAGACTCCAGGTCTGCCAACGGCAAGGGACTGAGACCCAGCAAAACTCAAGCTACAGAGAGTACTAGAGGTGAAGCAGTTAGAGCAATGGAGAGCCAAGAAACCGACAAGGTTAGTTAGGACTCTTACTGATGCGTGCTTTGCTCTTCTTTCTACCCTGTGGTCTATTCACTGACGCTGAACCACCCTCCCCCACCCACTCCCCGCCAGTATCTCTGTGTGCTTTATTTAAAAAAAAAAGGTTTTATTCATGCTTTTTGTCTTTTAGATTGGTCACTTTCTTTTTAAAAATGTCTTTTAATGAACTTGACAGACATTAACAAATATTATTTCACATGTAAAGAAGGACAGAAAATGAGGATTGTATGTAAAACCATGCATCTGTTGACATAAATACATAACGAATCTAATATGATAGTTCCAAAATTGTCCTTCCCTCTTCGGTGCATTTTTAAATGTTCAATTGACCCAGCTTAAGTGGTCCAGTAGATAGTGCTGAATCTGGAGTCAGGAAGACCAGAATTCAAATCCAGCTACAGACATTTGCTAGCTATGTGACCCTGGGCAAGTCATTTAATCTCTGCTTGCCTCAGTTTCCTTAACTGTAAAATGGGGATGATAATAGTGCTTACCTCCTAGGGTTGTTGTGAGAATCAAATGAAATAACTGTAAAGCATTTTAGCACAGTGCCTGGCATGTAGTAAGCACTATATAAATGTTAGCTATTAATATTATTTATTATTATTTTGGCATCATTATCACTACCCAGACGCCCCCCCATAAAAGCTCTCCTTTGTACACTACTTTCTAATAACTATGTGCGCGTACGCACACACACACACACACACACACACACACACACACACACACTCTTCTCTCTTATAACAAAGAAAATCGTGTAGCAAAAACCAAACCAATATGGTGACTGTGCCTGATGGCATATGCACCAATGTGCACCTGTAATCGATTACCTTTGTACTGAAAGGGAAGGCAGTGTTTGATTGTCAGAACTGTGGAATTTTAACTGTTGGGGGTAACCTGAATTCTGATAATGAAAACATTTGCATTACTGTAAATTATTCTAGATTTGCTTTCTTTGTGTCAATTCATACCAGTTTTCCCATGTGTCTCTGAATTCCCCCATTTATCATTTAGCATTGCAGTATATTCACATACCACAGTATGTTGAGCTATCTCCCAATCAGTGGCCACTCACTTTTCCTTTAGTTCTTTGTTGTTTCCAAGAATGTTCCTATAAATATTTTAGTATATATTGGACCTCTCTGTCACTGATCTTCTTGGGGTTTATGCGATTTCTTCATTAAAGGGTTTGATCTAGGTATACTTTAATAATAATAATAATAATAATACTAATAATGATAATATTATTAATAATATCCTGCATTTATGTAGCACCTACTATGTGCCAGGCTTTGCGCCAAGTGCTTTTTACAGATACTATCCCAGTGTGCCTCACATTGAACTTTCATCAGCAAGTTGCATTTATATAGCACCTGAAGGTTTGTAAAGTACTCTGGGTTACCTCATTTATTGCTTACCCTGGAAGTGTTAGATGTATTACTTATACCTTACTCTGAATTCTTTTAATCAGATAATCTACCTGTGGTAGAGCTGCCAGAGTGGGGGAGGGAAGAAAGGAATTTCTGGAGTGGGGTGGAAATGGAAGGCTCATTTCAGATCATAGAAGACAGAGGCCTAGCACAGCATACGGAAACTAGTACCAGGAGGCTGGAAAAAGGTAAAGAAAAATAAGTGGGGAAAGAATATCAGAGGCACTTTCCTCCTCCTCTGAGTAGTTTTTGACTAGGGCCTCTGGTTGTCACATGCATAGTGTTAGAGCACTCTTGAAAGTCCTGGGTCCACTTGGCTTTGGGCGTGGCTGTGTATATTCAGTCCTTGTACTTGTGTTCCTGATGTGTCTCCTGAGATCCCAAGGTGAACACAGATCTCCATGCTGGTGGGCCACAGATGTTCTTATCCATGTCTTCTTTTCTAATAGGAGGAAAATAGCCAGGCAAAGAGATCGCCATCTTCACCACAAGGAGCACCCAGAAAGCGGTCAGCTTTTGGAGATCTCACCAATGTGAGCAGCTTGGTTTTGTCTTGGCTTGTCAGTGTCTTCTAACCAGGTGATGGCTGATGAGTTCTGTGCTGGGAAGCAGCTGGAACTCGCTGTCTTTGCTGTCTAGCTTGGATAGCTTTCTTCTTGACTGTTGGACTTGACATTTATACCTAAGCCCTGAGGCTCCCCTCCTGTTTTGAACTAAATGTTAGTGAGGTCTTTGTATCCTTATGGAGTCAAAACAAGCTCAGGGCTCTGAGTGACCTTTGCTTAGATTTCAGTTTAGAGTACTTTTGAAGGGGGAATTGGAGGAATGCTTTCTCTGTTCTATAGTCCTTCCTTTCCCTAAGTGTTGGCTTATCAGGGAGAATAGGTACCATGCTGCATTTGGAATCAGTGTGCTTATTCTGGAATCTTCATGCATTTCCTGTCAACATCTCCAACTTGGGCCGGTTGATATAAATCTCTAGGTTTGGCAGTCAAGGGAACTGTTGGACATTAAACAACAGCATCACAAGGAGAGGGCTAGATAACCCTTCCCAAGGGCAAGTGAGTTAGTTTAGTTGCCTCCAGTTAAGTAAAACTACTAAGGTGATATTGTAACCTTCTTAACCTGGGGTCCATGAAAATGTTTTGAAGAAATATTCCTATTTTAATTTTGAAGAGGGTCCATAGACTTTACCAGACTCTTGCCAAAGGGGTCTGTGCCACAAACAAGGTGAAGAAGCCCTGACCTAGGGAATGCTCAGGATACAGGCCTTGGGGTACTTTAGCAGGTGGAAGTTTGTGCAAAGGCATCCTGGGGAATGTATCCTCCATAGCAATTACAGAGGTTCTCCTTCTGGGACAATCCTAGAAATCTCTGGTCCCTTTGTGATTTCTGAACAGACACATAGGGGAGGGAATTTAAGGGCTTCAGCTGAGTCAGATTATGTAAGGTCCCCTCTTATAAAACTAGTTCTCAGAGGCAGGCCTTGCAGTTCTGGGACATAAACAGTAGTACATCTGTGGGTGTCCTTTTGATTCTTGTATAACGGAGAAGGATAGGGAGGGACAGTTATTGGGCCAGAACTTGGGTTCTACCATGCTGGTGTGTAGGTAGGTAACAGTTTGACATTGGGGGATGATGCATCTGTTTCTTTGACTCCTTCAAGTGGTGTTACATATGAGGCCCCTGAAGCTTAGTGTTTTCTGGTTTTCCTCTACCTTTAACCTTAGCAATTTGGGCAATTCATGCTCTTGCTAGTATAAGAAGAAGATTAATTTAAACATTAGTAGTTTGCAGTTAGCCTCCACCTTGTGCCTTGTCAGCCCAGCCTGGGCAATGGGATAAGATGACACCTTGAGTAGTAAGTAGTCTCAAGCCGGAAGAGAAGGAGCTAGAACCTATATCCAGGTGCACTTGAGTGGTTTAATTAATTAACCACCTAAGTAGGCCATGGTAGTAGAACTTGGTTGTCTATCCCTTTTCTTTTGTGGTATAAGTAGGGATTTCATTCCCTCCTACCTCTTGGCCATTGGGTTAAACAGAAAAGTCAAGGATCCAGAATGCTACCCCAAGCCTGGTAGCTAACCAGGCACCTTGACAATTATTTGAACCAGACACAATAAAGATATATTTTCTAACTAGTGTTACTTGAAATTCCAGCTTTCCTGAGTGGAGTGGTTTTCCTGTTAGAATTGCAGTGGTTCTGTGTCACTTTCTTTTCCAGGCTCACCAAAATCAGCCTACACAGTCCAAGAAGGAGGTGGTCAAGGGTACTGCTAAGAAGGTACTTAGGAGCACAGTGGCTCATGATTTCTCCAAAAACAATGAGATCAACTTGAAAAAGTAAGTAAGAAAAGCCCTGTATAACCAGAAGTTTAGGGGATGACATCCTTTCTTCATCAGAGAATTGGGTTAGTAAGCCTTGATGGTGTTTGTCATGTTAACCTAACCTTAGGGGTTATATTGGGTAAAGTTCCAGCTGTGTCTGAGCTGATTGTGTTGGGTGGAGTTGTGGAGAAGTCTTGCTTAGGAAATTGGGAAAAGGGCTTTGTGCTTACCTCTTAGGAATTCATTCACCATTTTCATGGCTGGTTTGTGAGAGTGTAGGCAATTTTAGTTTTTCAGAAGGCTTCCAGAAAATAATCAAAGGCTTGCCACTTCTACCTTCTGAGAGAAGTTGGATTTTTAAAAAAAATTTTTTTTTTGAGAAGTCGGATTTTTGCTGTTAGGAAGTAACCCTTCTTTCACTGGCCCTAATCATTCCTGTTCTTGGATTATTTCTTGGTCTCTACCTTTGTCTAAAAGCCCTGATGTATGAAGGGACTTAGAACTGTCCTGATGGCCAGCCACTTTACCCAATCAGATTAGTGATTCTTCTCCCTACCCTCACCCCTCCAACTTTTATTTAACTTGATCTCTGTTGCTTTATTCTTCTGACCTGGCCATTAACATTTCCCCTGAAGGGACCATATTGCTTTATATCTTATGCCCATAATTATATCTTGGCTTCTTGCACTACGATCTGATCTCAATCTACTCTAGTCCACGTTGTCTGCTGGGCAGTGCAGACCAAATTAGCTGTTCAGCTCTCCACATGGGTTGGCTGTCTAAGAACTTGATCTGGCATTAGCCTCTAGATTAAGGGTTCTGCCTGCATTTCAGCTCAACAAACTGTTTAAGTCCCTACTATATGCAAGGCCCTATTAGGGAGGCTGTTTTTCTATGTGGTCTGGCAGGGCTTTCTCTGCATATCGAAGCTCTAATCTGCCAGGTTCTTTACTCATATAGGAAATAAAGTTCCTTGAATCTTTTAGTATCTTCCTTCTCAATTACTATTTTCATGTTGAGATTTCTAAACTTTGGCTCTGTTTGTCACCAGCCCTGAATTCTGGCTTTGAAGATCATAACTAGAGAAGGCTTGGCATCTATTACTTTTGGTCTAGATACCATCAGCCCCTTCTTTATCTTGTAGAACAAGAATCCTTGCCTGGTCTAAGGCATTTTCTGCTGCCTGTCATGCCCTTCTCCCTACTCACTTCTTGAGTTCTCCATGCATGTCTCCTCCTCTGCCATGGGTAATCGTAAAATGTGAGGAGAAATAAAAATTACGAAAAGGTTAAAGGCCTCTGTCAGAGTCTGCCCATTCTGTTGCCTGGCCTATTTATTTAGCATGATGACTGTGGGGGTTGGGGCTTAGAGAAGATCTGTGTTTTGAGGAACCCAGTCAGGTTCCCTAAGGAACAACATCTGAAATTCCCTTTCATGCTCTTTCCCAGTGAGACAGTGGCCAAGGCTCCTAGAACAGTTTGTCCTAGGTCTTGTTTTTCCCACAGGTCTGGCCCCAAATCCCTTGCAGAAGAGGCCTCTGTCAGCTCTGAGCCCACTGTCAAGGAAGGGCTGATGCCTGTCCAGGAGAGGGAGGAGCCTGTGCCGGTGCAGAAGGGGCCCAGTGTTCAAGAGGCCTCAGGTGCAGGACAACCAGGACCAAGCGAGGTACTCTTCTTTCCACTCGTCCCCTATTTTTCCTACTCCTTGACTACCTGAAATAACCTTTGGAGCATCTGTGAAATGTCTCAGAAAAGCAAGCATGGAGCTCTGGGAGATTTTCCTTCACTGCTAGCCAGAGAATGATATTGCTTAGGATTACTTCTGAATCTGTCCACGACCAGCTGGACCAAGCACTAATTTTTTTGGGGGAGGGGCTACTAAAGATCTGGACCCAACAGACCATGTTCCTTGTCTTCTGGTACAAATTTTCCCCCAAATCAGGCTGCCCTTAGATCATTGGTTATTAATAAGTATGTTCAGTAAGCATTTACGCACCCACTGAGTGACAGTAAATAATTCAAGTTTGAGAGGAAGGGTGTGTGGAATACAGAGTCTGACGAGATTTGAACAACAACAGATTCAGGATCAGTTAGCATAAGGGTCAAGGAATACTTGTCTGTATTACCCCTAGAATAAGGGAGAGACCTTTAGAGGAGGTAGACCCTGCCCTATGAAGTAGAGGGTTAGGGTTTGGCAAGGAGCAGAAAGGGAAAACATCACGGGTGTAGACCAGCCTCAGAGAATATTTAGAAGGTGGGAAGAGACTTGAGCTGGGAAGGTAGGAAGCCAGTTAGGAAGTACATTTGACTCCACCAAAAGGTATAGACTAAACTCTAGCAAATAACCCAGGGAGACAGATGGGGTTCCCGGGCACAAGTTCCACTGGATGGGCTGATCTAGCAACAAGGAGACCTAGAAGCATCAAAGCATACTGTCCTGGTAGATTTTTCCCAAAAGAGATGCCCATCTCCTGTGGTACAGTAGACATGCCCAAGGAGGGAGTTCTTTCAGCCGTTCAAACATCTATTAAGGATGCAGAGCAGTAGTTACTAGGTATTGTGACCTGTTCCACACTTCAGAGGAGTTCAAGTTTGACCCTGCTAAGGGGTTAGACTTTGAAGTATCTTAAAAAAAGGATGGGGGGGGGTGTAGGGAGAAAGAATCACACTTGGTACATTTCTAAGTCTCTTCCTGATGGAGCCTTCTGGTGACTCCAGCAGATGCCCAGGATGGAGAATATTGAAAAAGTTGAAGAGGACCCATATATCGGTGCAGAATATGCCAAGGAAATCTTCAAGTACATGAGAAAGAGAGAGGTATGTGGTAATACAGGTGGCTGAGGAGCCTGGTGAGGTTATAGAATGGGGAATGTTAGCTTTTTCTTTTTTTTTAACTACTGTTCCATGTCTCCTCTCAAGCCTGTAAATTAAAGACATTGAAAACCTTTGAGGACCCATAAAATCATTGTCTTTAGGACCAAGGAGGCAGGACCAGGAAGAGAAACTAGCTATATAGCTTGAGGACCAAGTTCTAGGCCTCATTTTGGGGAAATCTATTCTTTCTCTGCAGTGGACAATTCCCTACATGTATATAAAATAGTATCCTTTGCTTTTTGCCTGATAATTAGAATGTTTTTCTTCTTTCAGTATGTTCACGAATCTTTTCATTAACTGTGTAATTCCTTTATCTGATCATAATCTGTTGTCATTCTACTTCTGCCTCTGCCTTGCAACCCCTAACCCTGTTCTCTATTTTCACTGTGACCTCCAATCCCTCAACCGCTCAGTCCTTTCCCAGGCCATCACTCCTGCCCTTGCTATATTCGGCTCCCCTTGCTTTCCCCATCTTGACCTCTTGGTGAACCAGCTCAGCCACATGCTGTTCTCTACTCTTGAAGCTCTTGCTCCCTCCTTCTATTGCATATCTTGCCCTGCCAAGCCTCAGCCTGAATCATTCCCACTACCCACTGCCCTCTCTGCTGTTTGCATGCCACTGAATGACACTGGAGAGACTCACGAAACCATGCTGACTGGGTCTACTATGAATTTATGTTTCATAACCTCAGCTAGGCCCTCACCATGGCAAGGCAGTCCTTCTAGGCTTCTCTAATTGACTCTGTCCCATTCACCACAGTGGCTTTTCCAAGCATTTTCTTTCTTCATCAAACCTCCCATGGCTCCCTTCGTCCTACCCTCTCATCTGAGAATCTTGCCTCATGTGTTATTGAAAAATTTATGGCTGTTTGCTGAGAGCTCCCTCATTTCTTCCTCACCTTCCATTACTAAGACATTTTCCACCACTCTCTCCTACTTCATCCCTGTCTGTTTCTCTTTCTTTCTCTTTCTCTCTTTACACACACACACACACACACACACACACACACACACACACACACACACACAGTCTTGCCAGGGAGATTCCCTCTGTATACACAAGTGATCCCATGCTATCCCATCTTCTCCACCAGATTTCCCCTTCTGCCATTCCCACTCTCGCTAATCTGCAATCTTTCTCTATCTACGTAGCCTTGCCTTCCCCATCCTTGATCCCTCCATTCCCACTAGTGCTTAACACGGTGCCAGGCACATGGTAAATGCTATATAAGTGTTAGCTATCATCATCACCACCACCACCACTAGCACCATCTGTACAGATGATTTACTGATATATTTATCCAGCCCTAACGTCTCTCCTGATCTCTAGTCTTACATCTCCAGCTGCCTATTTGACATCTTAAATTCATAATGTCCAAAACTGAACTCATTATCTTTTCCTCCAAACCCTTTCCTCTTGCTAATTTCCCTATGACTGTCAAGGGCATCGCCTTCCTCCAAGTCACCCAGACTGGAAACCTAGGTGTCTTCCTCAACTCCTCACTCTCACCTCCATATCCCTCAGTTGCCAAGTCCTTTTGATTCTATGGTTGTAACATATCTAATCTCTCCCCACTCCAGTCCAGCTTCAAATAGATTTTCCTTAAGTATAGGTCAGGCCATGTCACCTCTCTGTTTGACCTTTGAAGCTCTTCTCCATCTGGTGTCTTTCTGCCTTGGTAGTCTTCTTCCATATACTCTATGACCCGGTCCCCCTGACCTCCTGGCTGGTCCTCACACAAACCATGCCAACTCCCAACTCTGAGCATTTTCCCTGCCTGTCCCACATGCCTACAATTTACTTCTTCCTCATCTCCATCTCCTGGTTTCCTTCAAGTCTCAATTGAAATCCTACCTTGAAGGCTTTTCTTGTCTTTCTTAATCTTAGTACCTTCCCTTTGAGATTGTCTCCATTATCCTGTCTCATGATCTTGTTTATACATAATTGGTTGCGTGTTGTCTTCTCTGTTAGAAGGTGAACTCCTTGAGAGCAGGGACCATGTTTCTGCCTTTCTTTGTATCCCCATTCTTGGCGTAGCACCTAGCACAAAGTATGTTCTTGAACAAGTCAACTGATATTTATTATCAGCTCCCAATTTTCTTCTGTCTCCCCCACTGGATCAGATGGATTTCGGCTATGCCTCCAGTTGTAGTTTTGGCAAAGGGAAGAATGATCTGCTAGTCTTCTCTTTGCAGAAATAACTAACTGAGGACAGCCCAGAGCCAAAGAGGCTGGCATGTGGAAGTTTCCATTGTTGGTCTCCCACTTCAACCCAGCCTACACTGGTGCAGTCCTGCAGGGGCTTGGGGCCTTGGCTTTCTTTGGTTTTGTTGGTCCCTTAGTGGAGATATCTGTCCTTGGACATTATACTTTCATAAAGCATCGTCTCACACTCCTGTCATTTGATTCTGCACATACCATGTTCTAAAAATAAGAGTGTTCCTTTCCCATGAAAATGTGGACCAAAGATTTAAGGGCCCTTTCACGTAGCTCCTGGATCTAGGAAGGAAGAGGGAGGGAGAGGTAGTAAGGGTGTGGTTTGACTGCTCTGGTCATGACAGATCCATTCACCTTTGTTCCTCTTGACTACCAGGAGATCTTCCCAATCTCAAACTACATGGTCAAGCAGCATGATATCAGCAAGGATATGAGAGCCATCCTGGTGGACTGGATGGTGGAGGTGCAGGTGAGTCTGGCAGCTTCTGACAGGGAGACTTGCAGTAAGATGTTTCAAAGAGAGCAACCACATGGACAGTTGTTCCTCTGTACCCGTCTTAGGAGGAACAGGTAGGCAGCAGGGCTGGCCCATCCTGTTATATATTCTCTTCTCCTATACCCCAAAGGACCTATTCTTAGCGACCTTCCTTTCCAGGGTCCTTTCTTCACAAGAATAGTTGATTGGGGCTTGATGTGATGACTCTCAGGAAGATTTACATTTCAGAGGGGAAGAGTGTTTGGGGACTGAGGTCTTTCTCAGGCTCCTGAAATCCATCTCTACCAAACAGTGTCTTTGGCAAAAGGCCTCTGAGCTTTGAGTGGGGAAGGTAGCATGGTTGTTTGATAGATTTAAAGAATAATGCCTTATTTCAGTGGAATTTTATGTTTTCTCATATATTCTCATTTGATCCTAGACAGTTTGAAGTAAAGAGCATGGTAGTTATTTCCAACTATGGATTATGAAATTAAAGCTTAAAGGCTGACTTGCCTAAGGTCATAAAGAAAATGACAGAACTGAGACTCCCTCAGTCCTTTGGTGCCATAGTGATATATGCTTCTTGCACTTCCGCAAAGTGTCTTGTTTGGATTATTTTTCTAGTGCTAGATCACTCCATTGCCTCATTGTGGCATACAAGAGATGACCCTGAGTGCTTAAGTCTATGGCAGATTCTTCCAAGCTGGGCCCACTGACAATACTGTCTGTTTCCTAAGAACTAGCCCCAGTTAAACTCAGAGAGGCTTATTGCTAGGTTGGTTGCAGGGTAATGAATTTTTTAGCCACAGCAATTCTTCCTTGGTGTAGAGGACAGTTCTACCCTCAAGGGACTTAAAATCTAATTAGAGATAAGATAGAAACAGAAAAATTAAATAACAAGGCAACATGTAATTGTTGTAGAATTGGGGTGTGTATGTGTGTGGAATTATTGTGGTCTGAGGCGCTTGAACAAGCTTCATTGAAAAGGTAAGACTGAAGTTAAGCCTGGTAGGGAAGAGCCTTGGTAGAAGGATAATATTGTGGGCTGCTAGGCTCATGGCTATAAACCATGGTCTTGTTTCCATCGATGATGTTATTGCTCTGTCCTACCACAGATACTGGCAAGGTTAGGGTAAAAGACAGCATGGAATGTTTAGTCTTCTTCGAATTGCTAGAAGCTAATGCCCCATACTCTTTTCTTATGGTCTAGAGTTGCAGCTTCTCCCAGAAGGCTAGGGTGCCTTTGGACTATGGGCTGTGGGTTTTGTGACAGGGAGAAGCCGTGTCTTGTTCTTTTTCATAACCTTTTCCCTTTTGTAGCATTGAGGTAAGTAATTATGGCACTTGGCTGACTGCTTCCCAGATACAGGCCTTTATGGCATCTCTTAGCTTAGCTGCAACTAGAGGTACTCTTGGGCAGGGTGCCTGGGAGGAGCCTCCTAGGGAAAGGGCTGCCTATCTCTGCTCACTTTCCCAGCCTTTTTGTTTCAACTCTTTCTTATTCAAGAACTGTAGGCATGTATGATTTCTGACTTGTAGCCATGCCCCCTCTCAGTCTTAGCAATGACATGCTCTTTGTGTGTATATACCAACTGGTAGCAGGAAGCCAAAAGCAGCTAGAAAAAACTGGGAGACAGAGGAAAGCGTATTGGTCTTAGATATGGGGTGTGCTGTCTCCTTTCTCAGGAGAACTTTGAGCTGACCCATGAGACCCTGTACTTGGCAGTGAAGTTGGTGGACCACTACTTGATGCAAGTGGTGTGCTTGAGGGACAAGTTACAACTGATTGGATCCACCGCTCTCCTGATCGCATCAAAATTTGAGGTGAGTCCCTGGGTATGATCATAGGACTTTGAGAGAAGCATCATGTGAACCATTTCTTACCTAGAACTAGAGAGGCCTGGATGCCTTCTTCAACCCCACCAAACTCTGTATCTGACCTGCCCATGAAGAGAGCCTACTGTTAAGCTACTACAGCTGAGTGTGCAGTAAGGGTTGGGATTTGCTCCATTTCCTGGGTATCTCCAACATCCTTCCAAACTCCCTTCTGGGGAGGGGTGCTAGGGGTGGGGGATGTATGTCATAGGCATGTAAGTACAAGTAGGATAATTCCAATGCAGGCTTGCTGCCATCTCATATCTGTTCCCACATAGGACATTGAGGGCTTTACTATGGTCAGGGAAAATGTGCTTATATCTGATGTGCTAGAGACTCTATTTGCCTCTTGTTAACAGTGATTTGAAATAGTATAGATGAAATGAACGTGATTTCAAAGGAATGGCATATTATATTCCCTACCCAGGGATAGCTTTTCTTTTCCCTTGGTCCTTTCTTGATAACCAGAGTTCCCTTTTTCTCTCTGTGAACTAACCTTCACTTTTTTTAGGTAGTGACTGAGTTTCTTGTCTTGTTCTTTTCTGACCTTTTCTTCAGCTAGGCATAAGAAATTCTAGGGCTTTGGAATAAGAAATAGTACCTTATTCTAAGGTCCTCAAAAGGTGTTTGTTTCTAATGAATCTTTCAGGTCAGCTAGTGGTTTTCAGAGTTGGCTGTGAAGGCCCGTGGCAAGAACTGGGGATTTCTTCTATCCTACTCCTCTTTTTGTTCTTTTGAGCACTCTAACCTAAGGGGATAGGCACCATCTTGTTCTGATATAACTCTCTTTTAACTTTGCCTTTAGGAACGTTGCCCACCCTGCATAGATGATTTCCTGTATATTTGTGATGATGCTTATCAGCGAGAGGAGCTTCTCTCCATGGAAATCAACATCCTCCACACCCTCAACTATGATATCAATATTCCTATTGCCTATCGTTTCTTGCGCAAATTTGCCAAGGTGAGAGGAAGTCATCATAGGTCACATAGGCCTCTCTCTACCCTAAGTGGCTCTTCTAGCATGGGACAAAGGGAGGTTCTAAGATTAGGGGCAGCTTCTTCATTCCCAAACTTCCCAAGCCAAGACATGACAACATTTCAGGAGAGTGTCATGGGGTGTGGGAGGGGAGGGGGCGGGGGAGCTAGCTAGGTGATGAAGTAGATAGAGCATTGTACCCAGAGTCAGGAAGACCTGAGTTCAGATCTACCCTCAGACACTTAGTAGCTATGTGGCCCTTGGGCAAGTCACTTAATCTCTCTCTGCCTCAGTTTCCTTATCTGTTAAATGGAAATAATAACACCTCTCTCCAAGGTTCTTGTGACAGTAAAATGAAATATTTGTAAAGCATTTTGCAAGCCCTAAAAATGGTATATAAATGCTAGCTATTGTTATTCAGAAAGCAATGAGTACTAGGAGGCTGGGGAGAAGGGTGCAGGGTAGGAGTGTCTTTTGGGTAATTTTGCCTAGGGCCATTGCTAATCTACAAACCATCTTGTATGGTTTGTACAAACTCCTGTTATGGAGTGGAAGGTATCTTTAGGTTGCCAAATGCCAATTCTGGGCCCTGGGGCACAGTTCAGGCAAGGAGAAACTGTGAGAAGGAAAGATTCTTCTTGTTGGAATTGACTTGTGGTGACAGAATCTCAGCGATGTAATGGATCTTGGAGGCTTTCTAGAGCAAACCTCATGCAAACATGAATCCACCTACAACATCCCTGACGTAGGTTTTCCAGCCACTGCTTGTAGACCACCAGCAAGGGGGAATGTTCCCTGCCTCTGAAGTGGCGCAGTCCACTTTTGGATATCTTGAATTGTTAGGAAGTGGCTCCTTTATTGAGCTAAGATCTTCTCTGCAGTTTCTATCTCTTGCTCCTAGTTGGATCCCTTGAGCCCTCTTCCACATGACAACCCTTCAGTACTTAAAGACTACAAAAATGATCTGCTGCGGGGGGGGGGCAGCACCCCAAGCCTTACCTACTGCAGGCTAAACATCCTCAGTTTCTTTCATCAATCTTCCTACATCTTCATATGGCATGGTTTTGAGTTGCCTCTTTGTTATTTTCTTTTGGACACGCTCTGTCTAATTATTTCCTAAAGTGTGACACTCTCTCTTACTGGCCCCACCTCTAGTGTGCCCATGTCAACATGGAGACGCTGACCTTGGCCAGGTTCATCTGTGAGTTGACTCTGCAGGAGTATGACTATGTCCAGGAGAGGGCCTCAAAGCTAGCTGCTAGCAGTTTCTTCTTGGCCCTCAAGATGAAGAATGTTGGAAAGTGGGTAAGCATTTGGATGGCACAGGGTGGCCTACATTTCTGGGTCAGGCAGAAGACAGCAAAACAAACCTAGAGGGAAATAAATTCTCAATATCTATAGTCACAAAGTCCACCACACCTTCCGAGCCAGGAGGCTGATTGAGTGGGAGAAGACTCAGAAAAGGTTTAAAGTGGTCTACATGGTAATTGGCACACGTGCCATTTCACTACAGGAGAGGCCTTTGGGGCACAGAGTAAGGAGACTTGAATGTGGGGCAGGCAGTACCCCTCAAATTCAGTGTTCCTGGTGTGGCTCAGGAAAGGTCACATCCACATCCTTGGGCTCACAAACACTACTCTTCTTGCTTACTCTAGACTCGCTCATTAGAACGTTACAGTGGATATCGGAGCACAGATCTCTTCTCCTTGGTCAAGAGACTCAACTTCTTGCTGACTTACCAGCACCATGACAAACTCAAGGCCGTGCGTACCAAGTACTCTCACAAGTAAGAGGCTGGGTTCTCTGTTGGGAAAAGAGTGGACTCAAGGCTTTGGAGACCAAACATTGTAACTTTTCTGGCTCATATGAGGAATGCTAATAGCTTCTGGCCTCCAGACGTTATTCCTTTTGAACCTTCTTTTCTGATTCCTAACTGGGGGAATAGACAATGAAGGGAACTCAGGGTAGGTATAACCCTAGTTACTACCCTCAAAGTCTGCCGCATAGACATAATGGTCTCCTTAAAAAGAATACGGGTAAAAGCCTTCCTCTCTTTAAGCCTGCTCAGAAGGGAAGGCAAAGCCTTGATGCTCATTGGGACCCCTTTATTCTTTAAAGACAATTTTCCAACGTTAAATAATCATTGAATCCTCCAACCAAAATCACTCTAGTTAATTTTAGATGAAATATTCTATACCCTTAGTTACTTGCCTCTTTATGGAGAGGAAGGAGGGATATGCAATTTTTTTTAGGGAGGGAATCAAGATGAGTCATTTTAATTAATCTGTTTAGCAGTATGTCATCATTTTCATTTACTACATTTTGTGTGTGTATGCATATGTTCATTCCTTTTGGTTCAACTATCTTTCATACAGTTTAACCCATGGTTCTTTGAAATCCTCATTTGTTGTTTCATATGGCACAATACCGTTCCATTATATTCACAGAACTTTTGCTATCCTGTGATCAGCGAGTGCTCACTTTGTTTTTAGATTTTTTGCTACCACATAGAATATCGCTATTGTGTATGTAAGTATAGATATGTACATATATACGTATAGATACAGATATAGCTATATGTAGGTATAGCTGAGGACTTCTTTTTGGTCTATTCTTTGTTTGGGGTGTGGAGTGGGTTGTCTGAGTCATAAAACCTCCAATCACTGTAGTGACTCTTCTGGCTGTTGCACTGACACACAGCTTCACCACAGCCACACACTTAGTGTGCCTGCGCTTTTGCTGTCTTTCATCATATTTGCCAGTTTTGGGGGCATGAGGTGAAACCTAAGTTTTTAATCTGCTTTTCTCTCATGATTAGTGGTTCAGAGTATTCTTTTATAGGGCAGTTGATATTTTCTTTTGAGAAATATTGTTCTTGTCCTTTGACTATTTGTGGAGAATGGCTCTTGGTCCTTACGTAATTTTGGTGTGTGTATGTGTGTCTTAATATTATACTTTTATCAGAGGCATTTGATACTAGGATTTTTTTCTGCAATCAAGTTTCTCTTCTTATTCTGGTTACCTTGGTGTTTTTTGTTTGTCTCTATCCCCAGTGCTTGCATGTTGTTGTAGAATTAGCAGAAGTAGAAGTAGTAGTCATAGTAGTAGTAAATAGCGGCTAACACATATGGCACTTTAAGGAGCTGTGCGTAAGTGCTTATTTCATTTGTTCCTCATAATAGTCCTATCCCCATTTTACAGATGAGGAGAAAAAGATATCTCTTTTATTCTTGAATTTTTAAATGATGTGACCTTTTGTATGTAGGTTATCCCTTCAGAGCTTTTGGTAGTATGTGGTGCTCTACATTAATTCCCTTTTCTAGGAAATTTTTCTGGTTTTCTAGCAGTTCTGGTCAAATAAGATAGTCTTCCCCACTTAGTTTGCGGTGTGTCATTTATTGAACACTGGATTGTTGTGTTTGATTGTTTCGGGTGGGGGGGGTCTTATCTAATCTAATATCTGATTTACTTTTCTTTAACCCCTCCCCTCCTACCTTTTTTTTTCTTTAACCAAAAAAGTAGTTTTGATTATTATTGCTTTCTACAGTATAGTTTGAGATCTGGTATCAACCTTCATTCCCCTTTTTTATCCTATTATTTCTGTTGAGATTTGAGACCTTCTATCGCTACAAGTTGTTTTTATCAAGTTTTACTTACACTGTAGCTCCTTGGATGTTGAATTGATACAGGATTAAATCTTTAAATTCATTTAGTGTTTTGGACTTGACCCAATTATGAGCAGTGAATCTGTCTGATTTCTTGACTCATTTTTATGAAGAATTTTGTAATTTACATTTCTGTATGTCATTTAAACCTGTTTCAGTGGTCCAATAGAAACGATAAGTCTTTTTGTCAATTTGTTTTGTATTCTGCTACTTTACTGATTATTTCTCTTGATTATTAGTTTCTCTTTTCGTCAGTGATGCTACCTTGCATTTCTCTGAGGTTGTAGCTATAACTAGCATTTTTTAGAACTTTGTTACATAATAGTGAGAAAGGGGCATTCTTGCTTTACTCATGTTTGTTGAAAAGTTTGTTTCTCCATTGCAGAACTCTTGCTTTTAGAAACTTTGGATCATATTAAAGAAGGGCCCTGTCATGTTTCTACATTTTGTCTTTCATATAAATGTCTTTCATAGAAATATATATATATATATATATATATATATATATATAATAGCTTTCATATAAATGAATTATCCTCTTTAGAATAATTTTGTTTCTGTGATTTATCATTTGACCAGAAGCCTCCATTTAGGCCCATATCTTTTATTTCTCTTTTATTATTATTTTTGTGTTATGATCTGAAAAGGATGTTTATTTCTGTCCTAGCCCATGATCCCTTTTTGTAAATGTACCATGTGATGGTAAGAACGAGGTATATAAACTATTTAAATATGCCAAAGCCTTTTATATTTGATTTGGATGAATTTATAACAAATGTTAACAAAGAAGGAAACTAAAGCCTGACAAAAAGCTAGAAAAATCAGGTTTGAAATCTCTTTGGTGATTTCTGAACTGTCTTTCCTGCCTCCTCTAATTCTTACAGAATCTTCTTTGAAGTTGCTAAAACTCCTACCTTGGATATGCTGAAGCTGGAGGATATTCTGAAGAACTCAGTCTGAAGAACAAAGCCAGGACCCATGTGGGGAAGCCCTGAGGCTAGCCTTGTAAATAGACTGTAAATATTTTGTCCTGTCTTTGTCTCCTTCTCCATGTCAGCATGTTTGTGCCTTTCTTTCTGTCTGTCTGAACTCATGTCATTTTAAGAAAAACAAAACTTTTTAAGAAGAAATAGTTCTAATGTTTTGATTAGGAACTAAATAAAATTTTGTTAAGTGCCTTCCCTGCCCTCTTATTCTCCAGGGGCAGATGAGGTGTCAGGGGGTAGAAAACAACAGTCTCCTGCCCTCCCTGGGGAAGATGCCAAGGGCTTCTTGGCATAAGGCAGCTCCTTTCCTGCTGGTAGTTGTCCCCACAGCCTGCCCTGTTCTAGCTTCTCCTTTTCTACACCACGCTCTCTTCTATAACTCTCTAGTCATGACTCAAGGAGGGGGATGCATTGCTACTTGGATACTGGGTTCAAGGGTGTCTTCTAAGCCCTTACCTGAGAGAGCTTTCCATGCTTAGTAAATGGGCTTGAGAGTTGGAGCAGCCAGCAGTGCCCACGATACCCTGTGCTTTGCCTGGTGCTTTTCTGCATTTGCAGAACAATCTTTAGTTGCTTATAGAATATATAGAATAAGGAGCTATTCTCCTTTTTCTGCAGTTTTGCTTTTAGTAGCTAGCAAGAACTCCCATAGTTGGTAGTTAAGGAAGCTGAGTAATGGGCAGGTTGGGGACGGTGGTGCAAAGCACCCTTTCCTAGCCTCCCTATGAATTGGCAATTTCTGTTTGTTTTTTCCATTCCATTTTATTTGTATGTATGTGATGTCATTAATGTGTTGGTCAGAGGTGCTTGTGGAGGCCTTTAAGTCGTGGCAGGTGTTGGCTAACACTTTGAACCGATCCGTGCTTTCTGATGAGATTTAGCTGGAATGGCTGGAAAAAAAAAATCTATGTCACAGGCCATCCCTCAGTACCCACGGGGGATAGGGATTGGAGATCAAAATGCAAATTGTGCCACTGCCTCAAAATCCTAGTGCTAAAGAGGGATAGACACATAATTTTTCCATCCTTGAGGATGAGAAAGCTTGGGGAAGAGTAGCTTCTAAGTAATTGTGATTTTGTGCTAATAGGGAACAAATCTGACCTGATTTTTCCTTCTCTTTCCCTACCTCCCTCTGCTAGAAGTGGTAATGCACAATGAGTGGCTAAAGAATTAGGCTGGGTTTGAGGCCAGAGGCTTGGAAATGACAATAGTGAAGCCAATATTCCTTATAGGGGGAAGTTAGTTTGGTGCTCTTTCATTCGAGTGGTCTGATATTAACCTCTTGGCTGATAGCTTAGGGGCTATCATTTATGTCCAATTGAAGCACCTACTTCCCAGGCCCTGCTCTGTTCTTTGGCCTCAGAAGCCACATTGGAAGGTATGAGAAAGGCTGTGTTATAGAGAGGGGTGCAGACCCTCAAAGATGTTTCTGTAGTAGTCCACCAAAGTGTTGCTGCACCCCTCTTCCCCTTTCTTCTAATTCTACAGTATAAGGGGGCTGGGGCTGTTGCCTCAGAGATACCAGATTGTACACAGCAGCATTTTGGTTTTTACCCACTTTTCTGCAATCCAATACAAATCTAACCCTCCGTGTCTTCCACTTCACCAAGCCCTTTATCACCCTAGGAATGAGAAAGAGAGACACCTGCACTATGGCTTTTTTAGTAGCCCCCTTACACCTGGGTTCTGTGCACTGGCCTTTTATTGTTACTATTTATGTTTCAGTGTATGTTTTGGCATAAAAATTTATTTGAAATTTAATAAAGAAGTTTGAAAAAACAGTACTGTAGTTCTTTTTACAGTCTTAGGCCCAAATCCCATTAACTACTGCCTATCTTTTAGCAGTGGGACTTGGCTTAAAGAGTATAACTACTGTGTAATGTAAAGGAGAGGGGTAAGTACTCCAAAGTAATGTCCTGCAGGCTGAGCCCAATCAGGGAACAAAGCTGGATTTTCAACAAAAGAACTGCAAATTGGAATTCTGAAAAACAATCTAGAAATAGACAAGAAAGTCTCTTCTTGACAACTGCACTTAGTTACCAAAGTAGCAAAATCAGTTCTGTCATGCTTGTAGGGGACAAGGTTATTGTTTAGGTCTCAGTCAAAAACAATTTTTAAGAAAGTGGGATTCAAGGGCTAAAGACTTAAGGGAAGCTTAAAGAGGCAAAACTGAGGGAAGGAAGAAGTAAATTATGATATTCCTTTATAGGTTAATCTTGGATGGAGGAGTGAGGAGGAAATGACACAGGAGAAAGTCAGCTGACTTGAGAGGGGATCTGGGGTTGTATTCCAACCTGGCTTGGGTGCAAATAGAGAAGGGATTGTGATTTCTTTGGTCTCTTGAAGAGCATGGTGGGGCTCCAGGGGAGCTGGTTAAGAGCAGTGGAAGGATGTCGAAGGCGATAGGAAGCTGGTCTTGGGAAAACAATGGAGTACCATTGTCCCTAGCATGGAGCATGGCAGGAAGCATGTTCCTGGGTAGGGTGAAGCTTTATGACAGGCTTCCTTGGAAGGGAATGGACACCTTAGGAGATGACCTCCAAGCAAGAGTCCTGCTTCCTATCACAAAAAAGGAGGGAGGGGCTTCCAGGGACTCCATGTAGATTCAGTGACAGGATGATAGGATATACTGATTTTAGTAAGGGCTCAGTAATGGTAAGGGTAGGAAGTAAAAAGATGCCAATTCTAATGATTTCTGTGATCCCATGAAAAGAGAGTGACATATAATGGATAAGAAAGCAAAACCGAACAATTCACGATGTGTAAAAAACCCCACATCTATAAACTGAAGATGCAATAATGTGAAAGAAAAGAATATGACAAGGAAGCTGAACTGAGTAAGTACAATGGCTACTCTGGGCTCAGGAGAAAAGAAGAGGGGGAGGTGCAAGGTAGTGGGACGGAGTTTTGGGGGTGGGGGGCTACAGGTACAGAATGTGACAGTCACTGTATTGGGGTTTGTCCTTATGACAAGGGCATTTTCATTAGATGGTGGCGTATGTCCAGAAATGGCAGTATCTAGTTAGAATGATTTCTTTTCCCCCAGAGTATTCCTGGGTACAGCAGCAATGGGGAGCACCAAGCAGCATACTCACTAGGCCAAGGTCTGGAGAAGAGATAGCTTGCCTTGTTCATCTGTAGGAGCTTGGAATCTATGATTGATTGCCCCTGAAACGACTCACAAGGAGCCAGAGACTGTACATTCAACCATTTATTAGTGGCCTGAAACACAAGCGCAACTCTGTTTAAACTCTGGACTGGTGTTACATCGGGGAGGAGGGGCCGGTGCGGATTTGTGGACATATTTTTATTTTGCTTTTGGTGTTCTCTTTGCCACTTCACCATCCAGCTTCCTCCCTCCAGTCCGGGCTCTGCTGCTGAACAGGAGCCTTTGAAAACAAACAAGCAAACAAACAAAACCCCCCCAAACAACGGAAACCAACAGGAGATTACAGCTCAGCAGACAAATACAGAGCAACCATCGCAATTTCACCGAGTACATTAAGCACAGCAGTTCTTAGGGAAGGAGGCGGATTGGGGTAGGCAGGTGATTACAATTCAGTTCCATATTTCTGATCATTGTTTTTCCTAACTCGACTTCTTCCTATATACCATGAGGTAGCCAAGAAGACAAGGCTGGCACATAGCCCTGCCCCTTCTAAGCTTACTGATGCAGGAAGCCTGCAGCTGCCATGGCTGCCATTGTTGTCCCTGACCTGGAGATCCTAGTGCTCAGAGGTGCAGCCAGAGACCCTCTGCAGAGGCTTTTCATAGCCTTGACCTTGAAAAGGTCAATCGTTTCTCCTTGGTCTCTGTTCTTACCACTTGCTGACCCCCATATCTAATGACAGAACTTGTAATAAAACCAAGAGGGAACAATATATAAACCCTCAACTCTTCGATCCCTGCCCAATCCCTTTTTTTCCTACACAAATGGGGCTTGTGGAACACCATTAGCTTAGAGAAAAGTTGGGCCTTTGTAAGTTTCAGTCATCTGTGGATGACACTCCCCCTCCCCCAATCCCGATCCTACAAAATAGATCAAGGCCATCTGTCCTTCCACATTGCTGAGAGCAGCTCAAGGAATTACATTCAAGACTACATAGGAACAATCATCCCAAGAAGCAACCCACCCCTTATTTGCCTGAAATGACATCTCTGAAGGTGATGGAGAATGGAAATGGATGGTGAGGGCCTAGTCCCATTGCCCAAGCAACTATATTACAGCACTGCTTCAGCGAGGCCCCTGTAGGGCTAAATCACTCCTGGGGCCCAAGGGCAGCCCCTGTGAAGGAGGGAGCTGATCTTGCTTTGTTCCAAGCACTAGGCTGGTCCAGGCAGAGCAGGTGCTCAGCAGGTTCCTTTCCTTGGCACCCTGAGCCTGCTTGGAGGGCTGGCTGGGCATCAGGGCAGGAGGGAAAGGCAATGGAAACTGAGTTAGCAAGCAGCACCTGCTCAGACCCTCCTTCCCCCTTCTTCCCCATCAATGGTGATCCCCACTCCATGCTTGGCCTACAGCCAGGCCAGCTCCATTCTGACTCAGGGAAGGAAGAGAAGAGGATTCTGGAGGGCCAAGGGTTTGGGGATGTGGACATTGGCCAGATCAACAACAGCACAGCACAGAGCTAGCATCTATATTAGCAATCTGAACAAAATTGAAAAGAGTTACATTCAGTTTGGCCACCACTGCGGGGGAAAAGCAACAGAAGAATCCCAACTCTGCCTAGGCTCCCAAGATCAACGGTGGCCCTGGCCTACTGGCCTCTCCATGTGTGTGCCTGTGTATGCATGGACACGTGTGCACATATGCATGCACCCATGTCCATGCAGGAGACACAGGGATGGCTTGGCCATGGAGGTAGGGGAGTTGATAAAGGGAAAGGGCTTTTAGCCCCAGAGGAGCCTAGAAGAGTGGGGGGGCAGTCAAAGCAAAAGTCTCCGAGATGACTCACCCCGGGGACAAATAAATTAATGCTGTAGATGCTTAAATAAAATTTTAAATATTTTCTTTCATCTATTTACAATACTTTCTTCTTTAGATTTATGGCTAGAGCTATTTTTGGGCATCACAATTAGACAAGACGGCATGAGGGATTTTTCCCCCCCGTTTGCTGTTTTGAGCTCCCCATTTTCAGGACCGGGATTGATCTGGTGTTCCCCAATGATCCAGCCACAGGAAAGACCTAGGGAAGAGCTCTGCCTTTGTCTTAAAGTGTGGAGAGGCCATCTTTGTAGCTCCCAGCCAAAGGGGGAGAGGGGAGAGAAATTTGTCCATGGATGGTCTAGGGTTTGGCTCATAGGGCCCTGGGGCATCTCCCCTCTAGATGTTAGGGCCCAGCCAGATTGGCTTTCCAAACAACAAAACCCCGAGCAAATTTAGGGCTGGGAACAACTGGGATTTGTGTTTTGGTTTTGGTTTTCATTAGAAGGTAGAGAGGTGTCCCACTCAAGGAGGCTCTGGGTCACCTGTTGTTGCTGTGTGATCTCAAACTCCAAGGCAGCAGCACCCTGGGCTGCAGAGGCCCTGCTCTGACAGCCTCTCTCTGCTGGGAAGGCCAGCTCTACCAGCCTGGTACCAGCAAGAGGGAAACAGCCTGGCAACTCTCAGTTGAGTCTGGGACCATCCTGACAGTTTGTTCAGGAAATTCAGGACTGGCTGCCCTGGATGGTCCCTGCGCCATTAGTCTAACCTAGCATTGAAGGTAGAGAGACCCATGAGGGCTCCTGGATCCTAGACTTCAAGGCCTATTGGTTGGAGAGGGCTGGGGAGGGGAGAAGGAGCAGAAAGGAAGAAAAGGGGAGGGAAGGGACAAAATGGGAGGGGAGAAGGAAGGGGAAGAGGAGGACTGAGGAAGAGTGGGGAGAGGGGAGAAGGTATGAGGAGGAAGGGAAGGGAAGGGAAGGGGGAGAGGGGAAGAGGTGTGAGGGGGAAGGGAAGGGAAGGGAGGAGAGGGGAAGAGGTGTGAGGGGGAAGGGAAGGGGAAGGGAGAGGGAGCAGGTCTGAATTGATGTACAGTCCAGCACAAACAGCTGTGACCTTTCTGCTCCCTTGTCCAGGGCCTGGCTTAGAATTGGGAGAATGGAACAGAAGTGGCCTGGACATCAGTGCCAGCGGTGGCTTTGAAGGCTCCACAGGGATGGATCAGACCCCACAGCTGTGTCAGAAGCAGGAACACTGATGGGGATGCCCAGAAGTCTGAGGTTCCTGGGCACGGCAGTAAGTTACAGAAGAACTTTATCAGGAGCCTTAGAAACCGAGTTGTGTTTTCAGTTCTTAAAAAAATATATACATCTCTCCATCTAGCTATGTCTCTATCTTTCTGTAATTTACACAGCAGCACAAGGGTGAATGACTCTTTTGGCTCGAAAAGCCAGCCAGAATGCAAGCAAAGCGCACTGGCAGACGGCATGCAAGCTTGGGTCAAGGCAGCGGGGGTTCTGACGGTTTCTGGAGACTCCATCAAGTTACTAGTGATGAGCAGCAGTGGGCAGAGTAGGCCATTCACCTGCAATCAGGACTGGCCACTTAGGTGGCCCATCAGGTACCTGATCAAAGCTATTCACAAGCATGCACGCAGACACTGACACACACACACACACATACTCCCCATTTCCCCTCCCACCCACCCCACTCCCTGCCAAGCATACACATACACACACACACACACACACACATACACACATACATATGTGTGTGTATACACACACGCACATACACACGCAGCATAGACTACTTGCAGAGAGTCTGAAAGGCATAGTTTTTGACATGCATGATGAGTCAGGGGGGGAGGGGTGTCAAGGTAGCACAATTAAGCTTAGGCCACTGATGGGGGCTCAACTCAGGGATAATAAAGGATGCAGCCATGTAATTAAGGCTAGGAGAGAAGCCCCTAGGACCTAGTTCCCATCCTCCATGGCACAAAGCCTCTCCTGCCACCTTCTTTTAGCAAACCAGCTCCAAAGGGAAAGTCAAAGACATTCCAGAATCACAAAATCAGCCAGGTGACCCTGACCCATCAGGGAAAACACACTCTCCAAAGCAGCCATAGAAGGCCATTCTTCTAGATCCCAGGCATATACAGAAGCTTAACTCATTTAACCAGAGCCAGTCAAGAAGCACAGAGAGGGAGAACTGAAGAACAACTCCATTCACCAATCTTTGGCCAATGTGGAAATGTAAACCTCTAAGGAAACCTGATAAAGTTGAGAACGTCACGTTAGTGGAAAGCGTTGTCTGACAGCCCTACCAAGGGTCCGTGTCTGTTCTGAATAATTGAGTCTGCAGTCATTCTACAGGTTTAGAGTCATTGTCATTGTTGTCATTGGTGTGGTTGTCATTGTCAGTCCACCATGAAGTGGCTTTGTGTCAGGAGTTCCAAGCTGTAGGGCTCGCTCCCTTCAGCATTTCATAGGTTGTGGCTAATATCTTTAATACCTTGAAGGATCTTCTTCACGTGACCAACCTTTCGGATTCCTAAATCCTTTATGGGAGAAAAAAGAAGAAGTTAGCTTGTTGACAGCTACCCAATCACTTGGACCAGAGAAGAGGAAAATGAAAGAGTAAGGGCACTGATGAGCTTGTGGCTTCCCCAACATGCCAAACCCTGGTTGTAGCAGCTGAACCATCAGAGGGTGGCGATCAAAGTGCCTGGGACAAAACCTCTTTAGGCCAAGCTCTCAGCTGTATGCTGCATGCTAGAAAGGGGTCCTCTATGCCACACCATGGGATGCCCAGCGTGCACTCCATCTACCACCAGTGCTGTACAGAAGAGTCAGAGGGAGAGGTGGCTGTTATCAGTTCTGGGCAGGGGGTGAGGTAGGGAGCTGTGGAGGAGTCCTTGGGGGGGCAGGAGAGGGACAGCTGTCTTTGGGTCAGCCGTCTTTGTCTTTCTTGTAGTTTTTGTACTCTACCTGGAAGGAAGCCTGGCTCAGCTCAGTCCCAGGCTCCATGTCATCTTGGGCCTGGGGCAGGCCTCAGTTCTGTGGAGCCATCTGTGCCAGGCTGCTTGTGAGACCAGCAGTTTGTCTGCCAGTGGGCACAGAGCAAGCATACCCTCCAAGCCACACTCACTTCTGTTTGAGGCTCCACCTCACGTCTGAGTTTTTAAGGTCAAGGCTCCCACTATATTCTCATGCCTTTGCCTCATGGGAGGAGAATCCCACAGCTCATAGAAAGGGCTTAGCCTTGTTCACTGACTTGGGGGCTCCACTTGGTCCCTTGGTTTCCTCATCTGTATTTGCCACTAGAGAGTGTGTTTAAGATCCTTGGGTGAGAAATGTTCCGTGGGCAGAGTGAGGCCAAGAGTGGTATGAGTGCGACCACCCTGGTAAATGCTTAGCAGGTAAAAGCAGATGGAAATTCAGAGCTCACTACAAAGCATTGTAAGAGCAAGAGGACAAGATTCAAGGAAAAACTCCTTGAGTATGAAGTAAAGTTGCTGACAATAAGAATGGACCAGGAGCCCTGTCTGTGGCCCCCCTCCCTCCTGCAGGGATGAGTCTCTGGGTCCCCAAGTCCTCTATGCATCACTTTTCCCTTTCCATGACAGCCAAAAGGCTGATGCCAAGGAGTCTTTGTTCTTAGCAAATGTGGGTGAGGAAGAAAGGGCAAAAGCAAGGCCAGCCTGGCCAGGGGGTCATGCCAGGGCCATGCCACTTGTAGGCAGCACGGATGCCAATGAGGCAGCCACCATTTCCGGAAAATAGGGGCATTATGAATACCTTTAAGTCTCGTCTCTCCAGCAGGATCAGCTCTGAGCCCTGGATTTCATGGCGGGTAAAAATGTCTTTGTACTCCCCTAAACCAAGGGCGTCCAGCCAAGAAGCCACTTCCTCAGGGCCCCATTTGTCCACTAGCAAAAAGGAAAATGACAGATGACCAACTTATTGAGAAGAACAGAGAGAAGAGGCCAAGAGCAACATGTGCAGAGACATACAGAGTAAGAGAGAGAAATTCTAAGCAAAGCACAGGCAGGTTCAAAGAAGGAATCAGGGCAAGTTGGTAAGAGGTGCTGGCGGGCAGCAGCAGCAACAGCAGCAGCAGTAAACTTATAGAGGTTTCTTGAGACATCAGAAACCAAGTTCTTGGGGCTTAGGATGTCCCAACAGCCCGAGCTTTGCCTAACGAATGAGGGTGTGTTCAAAATAATCCCCCCAAAGATTTGACTCTTCAAGGAGAGAATGAAGTGGCTGTTCTCTTCTATGCTTTGTGGTCCCTGCAACAGTGGTAGGCACACAGCAGAGGCTCAATACATGCTGGTGGAATTGGCTTGGACATTATCACCTGGCTTTTTTTCTCCCTCCCATACCTTCAAGGTATGGATCCTATCTCCCTCACACAGCTGTCAGGGTTAAGGAGCTAAGCAGCAAACAAGCTGGCTCTAGCAGTGGCCAGTAGCCTTGTGGGCAGTACAAGAGGTAGGCTAGAGTAGGGTTCACTGCTTGGCCACCACCTTGGTGGGACGACAGACAAGCTCTTGGGAGTTCAGGGCATGTAGTCCAGTCAGTGGCTCCACAATCCTGGGCCTAGGGAATAGGGTTGGGGGCCCAAGGCAAATGAACTTCCTGGGCCCCATTTTTCAGCAGATCTCTGCTCTAAACACACTAGAGAGATAGACTCTTGTGATGCTGAAACTGTCTGTCTATTCCCTCATTCAGCTGAGCCAGTTTGTCCAGGGCTTCTCCACAGCCTTATTCAAAGAAACGCTGCATGCCTTACTCTCTTCTGCAGACACAAGTCAGGAAGGACCCAAGAAAATTGGCAGCCTTGTCCATAGCTGGCCACATCCTGGAAGTTTCTGAGCTGTGTGGGCAGCCTGAAAGTGGGGTTCCGAGCACTTGTCTCAGGCTCTGCCACCATGTGTTTAAGCCCTGCCAGAACCCAGGAGTTTGGGGCTCTGGCCATTCTCTAGGTGACTGTCTCTAGTGTGTGCCAAACTGGGAACTTTGCCTCTTCCTTCTGACAGCGGTTCTGGACTTGGCCACCATCAGAGTTGAGGTGCCCCAAAACAAATGCTGGCAGGAAGATGACTTGTGGCCAGGCAGCAACAACATTGCCTTTGCTTCTGGGCCACATCATGTTTGCACAATTGGCAGGGGGACGGGGGTGAAGGTGGGAGGGGCAGCAGACAAGCAGATTTCTGAAGTGGCCATGCTGGGATTTGGGAACAAATGGGGAGACCCAGGAAAGGCAAAGAAGCGAGAGAAGTTCCCTGTCCTGTCCCTCCCAACCTGCCCAGAGTAGTCCCAGGTCATTTTTATAGGGTGTAGAAAGGGATCCCCCAGCCCTTTCTCCCAACTGCCTCTAGTTAAAAGGCCCAGTGGACCAACCTTCCCTTGGGATTCCTGGCCAGTTGGCTGCATGAGACTCCATGGCCATGTTTCGCCCTCGAATGGTGGTCAAAGAGAAAGCGGAGCAGAAGCTAAGGGGCTCACAAGCTCCTGTATTGCTGGTTTTGGCCGCCCAGGCAGCTAGGCTTCCTCTGGTCCCCGGAGGCCTTTGGGTTTGTCTATCCTCTGGCCTAGCTTTAAACTATTTTGAAGGGAGACACTCACTGCAATACCTGCCTCCACGCCTGCAGGCTATGATGAGCTGCCAAACAAAACGGGCCCAGTCATCTCTGGGTGATGAGCTCTCCTCCCCCCCCCCCCACACCTACAGATATCAGGCCTCAGAAAATCTTCTTCTCATCTACGTCCTGACCTGACCGCATTTGTTTGCTTGCTTCTCGGCCCAGCCTATATGGCTACCAGTAAAGCTGTGGGTGCAGAAAGCTGGGGAAGGGGAGAAGGGAAAGAGAGGAAGGGGGTAAGGGGAAGAGAGATAATCAGACACACATAGAGAAAGAAGAGAGGGAGAGACAGACAGGAAGAAAGTAGAGATAGAAGAGGCAGAGAGGAGAGGGAACTGGGAGGGCAGAGAAGGGGTGCCAGTGGGTCTTACTTCAGATCTCTCCTCGATGGGTAGCCTGGCCATAGGTTTTTTTTTTCCAAAAAGGTTTTAGGTTATGCAGCCAACACTGTTGCCAACTAATGGAATCATAAAGAATTGTAAAAGGGTCACTTGGAGCCCAGCCTCTCAGCAGCCTGGCTGGATTAGAGAGTGACCCCCTACCCCTCCCCTGCCAGGCCAGGCCTCTGCCCCTCAGCTTCTAGCCTCCTCTCTGCTCAGGAAGAGTAGCACCGATAAGCTCTGGCAAGATTGGTCATGGGCTTTTAGCACCTGGGCTAAGGCACCTGCCCTTCCCCTCCACTTCCTTGGCAGTCCCAAAACAAGAAGAAATAATCCCAACCAAAGGGCAGAGGCATGCTTTGAGTTCCTGGGGACTTGCTGTGAAAATTGAATGTAGAAGGTCCCAGAGAGAGCCCCACTTGCTCTGTTTTGGGCTTTTTCAAAAGCAAATGTCTGGCCGGATTAGAAGCTCATCTTGCTCCCAGCCCAGGGAGGAAGCCAGGCATGACTAGGAGAAGTATCTAAGGATGGCTCTTTAGCCATATTTTGGCCTGGGGGGAACAGCATTGGGCAGAGCAGAGAAATAATTGGCAGCTTTCTGAATAGATTTCTTCCAGTGGGCTGACAAGAGTCTGCTCCAAAGGAAACCTGCCCTCCAGCCTCCCGTCCTGCGGAGGGAGTCAAGGGCAGAGGCAGAGATTCCATGTTCCCTCAAGCTCTCATGGCAGCTCTGGAACCCCTTGGGGCTGTCCAAGATGCCCTTTTTGAACTTGCTTCATCTTGTCTCCACACATTGAGAATGGGGAACAGTGACTTTCTCCTCTGGCTCCTTCCCCCCTTCCTCCCAGCACTGTGTGTCTCTGGAGCTTAGCCTGCTGGGAAAATTAACTTCACTCCCAGAACTTTGGGGAAGGGATTTACCTGAGACAGAACTGCTCCATTTGACCTTGTGGGGCTTGCTTTTCTTTCCTCTGGAGATGTTGAGGCGCAGCCTGAAGCTGCCCTTGCTAGCGTGTCCCAAGCTCTCCTGGGCCAGAGAAAAACAAGAGGGTTAGTTTTTGTACCTTCTAAAGGGGCTGGCAGGGGCTTGGACCAAGGCCAGCTGTCCCCATATGTGCTTATGCTCTGAGATATGTTTCAGACAATGCTATAGTTAGAGCTCAGAGGCCATCCAGTCCAAGCCCCTCGTTCTATAGATGAAGAAACTGAGGCAGGCCCATGGAGACGACGTAACTTGCCCAAGGTTACACAGGTAGTAAGAATCAGAGATAGGGTATTGGTCCATATTAGAGGGACAGCCATAGTCTCTGGCTATACTGCCAGATATGCACCCCACCTTTGGCAATTTCTGCTGGCTGCTATCTCTGCTGATCTTCCTACCAAGGCCTCGCTTTAGTTTCCCAAGTCTCCCCCGGCCTCCTTTTTGGGGCTGCTCCATTTTCTACTGCCTTGATGTCCTTTTGGTGGAAGTTGCTGAGAGGCTGACTCCAGTTTGAAGTCAGGACAAACTCCCTAACCCTGAGGACTGCCCCAAAATGTCCTGGGCTGCTGAGACTGTGGCCATGTCCTCCTCGGAGGTGGACAGGATGGGGGGGGGTCACATGCTGGGTCTGTTATGCAGTGAATCCTCCTTCAGATGAGGGTTGGCCTCCATGGCCTCTGAGGTCCTCCTCTAATAACCTGGCATTCTGTGAATGTTGGGTTCGGGCAGCTTTGCCTCCCCCCCCTTTACTGAATCCATCTCTGTCGGCAGAATAAGCACAAGGACAGTAGCAGACAGGCCAGGAGGTGGTGCAGGGTCACAAGACCGGGCACTTTGTGGGAAAGACTACGGAGCTCAGCTTGCTCCTTCCAGGGCCTGCTGATTTAAGACCAACAGAAAGAAGCAGGTGCCGTCCTCCAGGGACTTGGCCCAAGTGCCAGTGGCCACATTTCAGGAAGGACACTGACAAGCTGTAGTGTATCCAGAGGAAGTCAACCAGAGAAGAGCTGGAAGTGTGGTCCTCAGAGATGGATCAGAGGCCAGTGATGGTTGGTAAGTGGCAGAGCTGGGACTCAGCCTGGAGGCTTCTGGCTCTGAATGTAGTACTGTCAGCTAGGCCATGGGACAACTGTACCACATACAAGCTACTTGAAGAAACTGAGGATATGAAACCCAGAGAAGGCTGGGAGTGAGGTGGGCCAGGGGCTGCCTTCTGATAGGTTCAGGGCTCTCCAGCAGCAAAGGTATTAGACCTGCTCTGTTTGGCCCCTGAGGGCAGAACCAGGAGCCATGGTGGGGGGTGCATAAGGAGGTAGATTTAGGCTGGCTGGAAGGAAGACCTTCACAAGGAGAGCTAGCCTTGAGTGGCTGGTGAGGGGTGACATTTCAGAGAGGATTTTTGCTTAGGGATGGGTAGAACTTGACAGCCTCAGAGGGAGGGCCCTTCCAACTTGGAGCTTCCATGAGGCACTGTCCTAATTTGGCCACCAAATTAATGAAATGTGACTATTTTCCAATTTTGTGACACAATTCTCAAAAATCATCATGTGTCAATGATGTGCCCATAGCCATCTGCACTCTTACCATCCACACCTCTCTGCTCAGTACCCCCAGAGCTTGCACTGTTCCTGTCTCCTGGATGAGGTCAAAGGGCCAGGGTTGGGGTGAAGGGAGGGGAGCTTGGAAGCAGTTGTGACAGAGTGGGGCCAACAAAAGCACCAGTGCTTTTCTTCCTCCTTCCCCCTCACACCTGGGGGACATTAGCCCCCAACACCCTTCCTTCCAAGTCACCTTTGGCCAAAAGAGCTGGGCTTCCCTCTGTCCACATCCTTTCATCCAGGAAGGCCCTCTCTTCACTGACAAGGTAACCCCCAGATCGTGAAAGTGCTCACTTAGCACAGTGCCTGGCACACAGTAGGTGCTTACTAAATGTTGGTTGATTGATGAGAGCTACAGCCCCTGCTATCCCTCCACCCCGGCATCTGATAAATGGAGATAGAGTGAAGCCCCACAGCCTTTAGTCACCCTGTTCCTCTGTGGCCCCTTCAAGAAGGCACTCACCTCTTCAGTGACAGCATTGAGGATGGGTGCCATCCAGTGGATTTCAGACACCTTCTCCAGCTCCTGGCTGACGTTGGCTAGGGCAACCTGCAGCCCCTCCTCCTGCCGGGGGCTGTCCAGCTGCTATAGGGATGGAAAGCAGACAGGATGAGCTCCACTGCCAGGCATCTCTGTTTCCTGGCACACAAGCACCAACCTCAAGGTTCAAGGCTCTGCGTCCTGCACTAGGCATTCTGAGGCAATGTGAGGGGGCCTAGAGACATAGCCGGAGAGGAGCTGGGCCCATATCCTGCCTCTTAAGCACAGTGGCGATAGGACCCAGTGCCCCTGGGCAACTTTAAGGCTCTGCTTGGGATCTCACTGTACGGTATCATCAGCCCTACTCTGGGGAACAGAATGGCCTGATGGGGCTCTCTCTTTTGAACCTGAAATACTTGGGGCCAGCATTGGGGGCCAAAAAGGACAGGACTATAGATTTAGGGCTTGAAGGGGTCTCAGAATTAGGGTTAGAGATCACTGAATCCGCCCCTCTCATTTTCCAGACACTGAATCTCAGGGAAATAAGCCTAGCCTACTAGTGAACAGTTTCTATGTGATAGAGCTGGGATCCAAGCCAAGGTCCTGTCTCTGAAATCCAGGGTTGCTTGCTGTCCATGCCAGGGCTTGTCCTTTGACCTCAAGGTTGTTTGGAGTGTTCCCCAGTTCCTAATGTGGATGTTGAGGTCTGAAGGGGCCAGGACAGTCCCTCCAGCCCCAACTGGGCCCACCCAAGCCCTTAGCTTGGCCCTCTCCCACTAATAGGAATCATGGCATATTCTGTTCCCTAAATCCAGATCTTTAATGACTCTTCTCTCTGAGATCACCTCCAACAGAGAAAAGCCAAGCCCTGGAAGGCCAGCACACATGAGGAGTTTTGTGTTCCTGGGACTGAGCAGACAGAACAGATGGGCAGTGATGTCACTGGCATGAGGCCTGTTCGCCCAGCCTCTTTTCTTCTCCTTGGCATAGGGCCCACTTTCAATTGGACCCCCAGGTGGGAACTCTTCTGGTGCCACCTGCCACAGACAGGTGAGAGGGGCTGGCAGGCTACATGGATGGATGATTAGGAAAGCCAACAGCATAAGACATCAGCAACTGAAACAGACTTGCAGGGATGGGCAGACCTGGAGGAGGCTGGGAGGGCCCTGGGGAGTTTTGTAGAGAGACACAATGAACTTGGCAGCCCTGGGGAAAAGATCCCCACGCAAAGCTGGAGATGAAGGGAATTGCTACAGGTGTCTAAACAATTGGCTGCTTCATACTGCCCTGGGAGGTGGCCCCTAAACCCTGTCTCTCCTGTTGTCCTCCAGTGGCCATACAGACATGGAGGCTACCCTGAGAAAGGTCCAGCATGCAGAGACCGAGGAGGTGTGACAGTGCTCTCCTTTGCCCCCACCCTCTTCCAGGTCTGGGGACCCCAGTTTAATGGACACATTGACAAAAACTGGAGGGCCACCAAAGGAGGCCTCCCAGGATGTTCAAGTTCACACCACATGAGGAAGAGAAGACTTGGTGGTGGGGGAGGGGAATTGTGCTCATTGTCTTCAAGGATCTGAAGGGTGTCTTGGGGAGAAGGGACTAGCCTAGATCTTCTTGGCCCCCCCAAGGCATAACTAGGAGCTTTGGAAAGAAGTTGTAGAGGGCCAGGTTCAGGCCAGATGTCAGGAAGAACTTGCTAACAATGAGGACTGCCCTGACTTCCTGAGCTTGGGCTGCCACAGAGGAGGGGCTCCTGTCTGTAGGCCTTCATGCAGAGGAATCACAGTTTGGGCCAGGGTTGGGCCCTTCCCACCTTTCCTTCCCCTATCTTGGGTGCCAGGCCAGTCCTCAGCAAAACTGGGGGAGGTGGGGGGAAAGCTGAGTTTGTCTGTGGCCCTCACCCCCACCTCCCATGTGGTACAATGGAAAGTCCAAATCTCAGCTCTTCTCTAGGTCACACAATCTCTTTGGACCTCAGTTTGCTAGGATCTCCATGCTTACACTCTTGCCTTCCCATGACCTTCCATTGCTCTCATGTTTACTGTAGATATTGAATATTCACAGAGATGTGACTACTTCCTGGGGTTCAAGGAGGGCAGGGGCATGTGAAATTGACTCTGGCTCTCTCCTACCGCTTTACACGTAGCAAGCCCTTCTTTAAAATACTTCCATTCTCCCCTATGTGGGATTGCAAGAAGGCACTATGATGTTGAATTATGGGAACCCTACCAGTCACATGGCCAAGCCCTGGGTTTGGAGTCAGAGGACCTGTGCTCAAAGCCCAGCACTGCCTACCTGCGTGACCTCCTTTCTGGGATGCCTCAATTTCCTCCCTTATAAAATGAGGGCCTCTGAGATCCTTTCTAGCTCTAGAACTAGGAAACTATAATTGTGGGAGGTGGAATTTGAACCTTCGAGCCTAGCCCTTTATTCATAACACACTGGCCCTTGTCTCTCCCAATTGCTGTCAGGTTATCCAATGCTTGGGGGTAAATCCTGCTCACCCCCTTCTTCCCATCCCCTATACTCACCAATTTCCCTTCCACGTAAGCTCTGGCTTCATTGTACAAGGCTTTCACACTAATTGAAACTTCCACAGCTGAGTTTCTGCTCAGGCTCTGCAAGGTGTGGAGGTGAAGAGAGAAGAGAAGGAAAAAGGAGAGAGAAAAGTCAATATGATGAGCCTGGCTTCTGGATACCAAGGGATGGAAGGAGCTGGCAGGGTGACCAGGGAGCTGGGCCATTCCCTGATATGGCCCAATTTGGCTCTCCTCTTTTACTCCCTCCCAAGAAGGGGCTTTGCCCCAAGCTACCCTTGGTGTCAAGAGCCACGTGGAAAGGGAAGCAAGGCTGGGACCTAGGTTGCTGGCTCAACTGACCATGGAAAATGGAAGTCACTCTAGGCCCTTGGGCTAAATGAGTGGAGGCCCAAGCGTTCCTCTCCCTCTTCCCCCAACAACTAAGCTGTTATTTTCAGCTGGATCCTCTGGGCTCCACCAGGGCTAGAAATCGCCAGCCTATAGCATGGGAGTCATTGGTCCCAGATGTAGTCTTTGGCACCATCTGGCCCAGCCCAAGGGCATCATTCAAGGCCTGCAAATGTGTCTCCAGTCCCTTGCAGGCTTGGCAGTTGGCAGGGGCCCCAGCTGTTTCTAAGGCTCATGTTGGACTCAGATTTTCACTCCTCAACACTTAAACTGCTTGCCTTCTGGCCCCATCTGAATGTGTGTGTATGTGTGTGTGTGCGCGCGCATGAACATATATGTGTACCTTCCCTGCCCCCAACCAAGCCCCAGCCATTTCCCATCCCCCAATAACTGCTATCCCTGCCTTACCTCAGGGCTGCTGCCGCTGCGCTTGCTGGGCAGCACTTCAGTCAGGGCCGAGGCACAGCCATTCACCGAGTGGGCCAGTTCCTGCTCTATGGCCTTGTGGATCTTGGCTACCTCACGGATCCTGCAACCAAGTCATGGGGAGGTGAGACAGGGCCTGTTTGGAGGCTAGAGATGACCATGTCCTTAGGATACATCATGACATGAGAAAAGAAAGCGGGCCATGCTACACTCCTGAGAGAAGCCATGGGCAACTCTCAGCAACACCACGCTGGGCTAGTTGCACTGGCTGGGGTGGCGCCAGGCATCAGTGAGCCATGTAGAAGGGCATGGGCTCCGGGGAAGCCACATCCTGAACCATCATCACATTCAGAGTGGTGTCACTGGGGCCCCCTTGGTCATGGCTGCAGCAGCTCCAAGGTCAAGAATGCTGACGGGCAGCTTGGTCCAAGTTGTGTAGTTCAGTTTTTGAGTAGCCCGAGGAGCTTAAACTATAATTGAACACATTCCCCTGGGATCTCCTTGGTGCTGCTTCCTGGCCATGGGCCTGGCCTGTAAAGGGGAAAAGGTGGAAGAAAGATGTTGGGGCTGCATGGGGCATCCTACTCTAGGAGGAGAGGGGGAAGGAGGATGAGGCAGTGGGGGAGTCAAGCCCCCAGCTCTCTCCACCGGCCTCCCCAGTCCAAGTAGCTGGGTTGTCATCTACCCACTCCACAGCTCAGACCTTTGCCACAAAAATTGGACAGGGCAGCCAGTGAAACTACTGGGCCTGGTCAGGAACTTGGGTGGTTCCTATCTGGACTTGTTCTCCCAGGAGGTTGCACCTTGTCTTTTAAGGCCTCGACCTCACTGCTGTGCCCTGTGGAGAAGAGCCTGGCAAAGGTGGCCTCCTGGGATCCCTTGCCTCTGCATGAGCTAACATGTTCCTCAGGAGAGGCAGGGCCTCTGACTGAAGTGCCATAGCCCAATGGGGGAGCATTCAGTCATACCCTGAGCTGCCTGCTCACAGGGCTGGCACCATCCCATCTGGGCTTTGGGGATATTTTGCACACACCTGTCCTCAGGGTTCCCCCTTTTCTCGTCCCACATGCTGCCAGGGGGGCTTGAACGAAGAGTCCTACACACTCATCTCAATGCTTCCCTGTGCTAGGTTCAGCCCAACAGGGGCCCTTCCCTTGTTCTCTTGGTTGGCGGTGGCTTGATGCTACTCTCCCTGGGGCCCTCAGGATCTATCGGGGTGGGCATAGGGTTCCCGACCTTGCGGTAAGTCCTAGCCCAAAGGGTCCCCCGATTTATTATTTCTAAAAGGATCTAATCGAGGCGGGCATGGGGTTCTTGCCAAAGCAATAGTCCCAGCCCAAAGGGTCCCCCGATTTATGAGTCAGTTACAGGGTTGATGGGTTTTCCCTCTAAGGATGGTGACTATCCCCTAACAGGTAGCAGTCCTCCAAAATCAGACCTACTCAGGAAACTGATAGATAGGGGTGGGTCTTGATTTCAATTGTAGCATTCTGGATACAGAGGCCACCAGCTGATGGGCCTGGCCTTGTTCCAGATGACTCCCACAATGTTCCCCTTTGGCATCTACCAGTCACTGAGGGTCATCTCCCAGAAGTCCACTCCTGCTCATGCCCCACCACTTTTATGCATAACAGACAACAGCAAGCTTTAGATGGGAGCCACGCAATTAAAATGCCAACCAAAAGTCAAGGGGGGGGAATTCCCATTACCGAACCCGGGTTCGTCTTTCACTCTGGGGGGCAAGTTACCATAAAACCACTCTGCTTGCCATGGCAGATGTTCTGGGTTTGAGGGGACGATTTTCTGAGGCTGGAGAAATGATCAGTCACTCCTGTCCATTCCCCATCATTTAGTAGCAAATGTTCTCAGAATGGGTGGTTATATGGTAAGTCTGCCAGTGCAGCAGAGGAATGAAAAGACAACCCACGCACAAAACTTACGTATCCTAGTGAAGTTTTTTGAAGGATATAGGTACAGCTGGCCGGGTCTCAGATGCAGAATCGAGAACTAAGGACACAGGTGTTGTGGTGCTTCTAGGTGCTTCTAGAGGGGAGACTGTGTCCTTTTCCAGGCCGGAAGATCAAGTCTCACACCAACCATCTGTGCCACGCACGCGCCGGTGTCCCAACATCAGGTCGTGACATGCAGCCGCACAAAAGGGGGGCATCTGACTTTCCCCCTTACACAGAGAAAAAGCTCCATCTCTGCCACATGTTGGTGATGCCTTGTCAGTTTCCCTGGGTCTTAGGGATTCGGGGGCAAGGACTGGTGGTGACAGGAGTGGCTGGACATGGAATTGGAATACTTGGCCCTTAGCTTTACTCCAAGCCTGTGGCAGGGGTCTGTAAGACCCTTGTATTTGCACCTTCCTAGGGCTGAGGGGCAGTGGAATGATGCCCCCTCTTGCCCAGATGATTGTGATCTGCAGAATATTTGGACTTTTTTTGGACACAGAGTGGGGACCCTCTAGGCAGCTTAGGAATATGAAGAACAGGAGAGAACAACAGGGCTGTATAAGCAGACAGAGAGACACTGGGTCGCAGCAATCAACACGAGCCAAGCACCCAAACCTTCAGGAAGCCAAGGCTCCTTTCTCTGGCTGCCTGCATGCCAGGGGGCAACTCCCAAGAAGTGACTCTAGGGGGCTTTTCTCAGCAGAAAAGAAGGTAGAGACAATGGGGCCACTAAGCAAGACAGCGCCCACCTTCCTTGGCCCATGGTGGCCATTCCCTGATCAGAGCAGCTGGAATGGCGGGTGCTGGGTGGCATCTGTGAATGCCGCCCCACACCTGGTGAGGGAGAGACTCCCCCAATGGTGCACAAATGCCAGGCTTACAACAAGGAGCCTGTGCCTGGGGTTTCACTGACGCCAGGAACTTCCTGGTGTGGAATCTCTCTCCACCAATGCAGGGCGGGGGCAACTTGGTTGTAACTTGGAGCCTTGAGAGAGTGTCCTGGGGCACTCAGAGGCAAATGGATTGGCCTACTAATACACGGTCCTATGTATGTCTACATGTACATGTGTGTGTGTGTGCACGTACGTATCTTCTAAGACCAAATAAGATCAGCTTGTTTACATTCACAAAGACAGGATGACAGGGGAGGTTGCCCAAATCCCAGCTAACAAATAAAACCTCATGTATATAATGGGAGGAGGTGAGGCCATCACAAATTCAGATGGCCAAGTGAGAGTTAGGCTTGGGGTGCTGGAAAGGCCTTATCTTTCTTACAGAGGAAGAAGCTGAGGCCCAGAGAAGGAAGGGGGGTGCTATTTTTTTCCACACTAGAAGGCAAAGAGTCACAGGGTATTCAGGATGGAAAGCAATCTTTGAGGTCTTCTAGGACCATGGGATCCCAGATGTGGGCCTGGCAGGGAGCTCTGGCCTCCTTCTCTCACACAGGAGAACACTTACGCCCAAAGACGGGGAAAGGACTTTGTCTAAAGTAGCTGGGTCAGTTAGTGGCCCAACCAGGAGTAGAACTTAAGTCTTGGGACTCCCAATTGAGGCTAGTTCCCTCCCCCTCAGTCCAGTCATGACTGGGGCTTCCATCAGGAGGCCAGGCTTCCGCTATGGCTTGCCCTTCTCTCTCTGCCTCTAGCTCCCTCTTCCCCCAGGGACTCTCACAGACCGGCCACTTCACCTGGTGATGAGGATGTCGGCGGAGCGGGCAAAGCGCTGCAACAGCCTATATTCTTCCTCAGTGAGATATTCCATGGACTGCTGGGAGCTGAGCCGGGGTCGGGTTGATCGGTAGCTTTCCCCCTTTTGCTTATCTTCCCATGACTTGAGGGTGCTCTCAAAGGCCTAGAGATGAGGAGAATGAAAAAGAAAGGCAATTAAGAAAGGAGACGGTCTCTCCCTCCTCCTGTAGAAGTCAAGCTTGAGTCTCTAGGGGTCAGACTGCAGAGCTCAGCTTCCCCCAAGCGCTGTGCCAACATGTCAGAAAATGTCCCATCCCCTGAGCTTCTTTTCTGCACTGGGGAGGAATGCCTCTTTTTTTGAATCTGCAGCACTTGGCAGTGTCTGGCACATAGTAGGTACTCACTAAATGCTACATGATTGACAGAACAAAGGAGGCACTTGGCAAGTATTGGCACTGAAGTGATGCTAGCTTGCTTGCCATTGCCCTTTCCACTTTCCCCATGCAGACCAGAGTATCCCTTTACAAACTGGTGAGCAAATGGGTACACATTTCCTTCAAGCTTAGAGGGTTTCGCTGAAGTTGGGATCAAATGTAAAGGCTATTTTTCATGGATCCTTAGAAGGATGTTAGTGGGAGACCATTGGAAGCCTTGTGGATCCCTGGGCAGGGCTGAGGCTTGGCCTCTAGGTCTGCATGACAGCCTAACTGTGAAACTTCTCACCCGGTCTCTGGTCAGCATTTGGGCTCGGTTCTTATGCTGAATCTTGATGATACCCGGGGGCTGGACCCAGGCCTCTCCATCCACTTGCACAGGGACCCCCTCATTGCCGCAGATGGTGATCTTTACCACATGGCACTGGCAAAGAAATGAGGAGAGATGAGAGGGGGACCCTACAGAGCCTGTGAGAGCCCACCAGCATAGCTCGAGTGTCTGAAGCAGGGGTAGGCCCCAAGGCACCACCTGGGTCAAGATGTGAAACCCATTTCCTATTGGCCAGTGGTGCCCAGGCATTATCTGATAGACCTTCAGAAATAAGGATGTCTCATACAGGCTAAAGGCCTTCTAGCTCTAGGCTGGGAGAAAAATCCAGATGGGGCTTCCCCCTAGTGCCTGGCCCATAATAAGTGCTTACTTAATGCTTATTGCCTTGCCTGGCCTCAGCAGCCTAGTCCAGGGGAACCCAGAGTTCCCAGTCGCTGCTATTCACTGTCCCGTGCATAACACCACTCCCATAGATGAGTGTGCATGCCCGTGTCCCACGGCCTGGCCACCTGCCCAGCCCACTGCTGCCTACCTGGGCAATGCGGTGATGTTGAAGATTGATAACTCGGGACACAGCCATCTGAATGCTGCCAAACACTGCCACCACCTCCAGCTTCTTGTCATCAAAGGAAGGTGCTCCAAAGTTCTGTAGGGGGACAGTGGTGAGGTCGCTCACAGCCCCTGACAGCCTGCGCAAGAGATGGGACTAGGAGCTGACCCCTTCCATTGGCCCCCTGCCAGCCCCATCTCACCCAATAGCCTTTGTCCTGTTAATGCCAAAGGCCTCTTTCCTAGGTGCCACATCCTAAGAGATGGAGGGCCACCTGACAGATATGGGCTGGATTAAGAGGTCTGCAGAGGTCTCTTGGAACTTGGAGATTCTGGGGTCCTGGGTCCATACGTTTGAAAGCCAGCTTTACTAAGGAGAATCTGTCTAAGGAGTTGGTTGGGAGTCATGGCAAGACAGGGATGTGAGGCCTGCATGTTTATCCATTTCCCTGGGGCCTGGCTGGTCTAAGCAGGCTGCCAACACTGTTCACTCGCAATGGGTGCAGAGTGATCAATTCCCATTTTCAAGCATGTGGTGGGCCAGGCCTGGGCTTGGAAAGCTAGTGTGCTGAGGGGACAGAGAAAATCCTCAAAGCCAGGAGAACCAGCTCCCAGGCCTCAGGTACTCAGCCTCCCCCCACCTCCACTTCAGCCTAGCCAGACCTTTTCCCTGCTCACCATAGCCCCGTGAGAGGCCCTGGGATTGAGCTTGGTCAGCCCTGCTTCAGGCATGTTCGGGTCAGGGGTCAGAGCCCAGGCTGGGCCAGGACACCAGTGACAGACTTTGGGCTTGGAAGGCTTCTGTTTGGGCCAGCTCTCCCACCTGAGGGGCCCCGTTCCCTCTCCCCATCATGGCTGAGAGTAAACTTACATTATCTTCCTTGGTGCCACCCCAGAAATTGATGCCTCCTGCATAGCTGGGGATATTGAGCACGGCAATTCCCTGCAGACTAGGCAAGGCCATGATTTCACCATCACACTGGAAGAGCAAAGAAAAGATGTGAGGATCAGTGACTATTTGGAAGGGGTTAGAGGATTGGAAGGTGTCAATACTAAAAAGGACCTTGGGGTTTGAGGCAAAAACTGGGGCCCAGAAATGGGAAGTGAGGACATTGTCCAAGGTCCCTTCTAGCTCACAGGGCCTGTGTGACCTTAGGCAAGTCTCTTTCCCTTGAGGTTTCCTCCTCTAGCTATGAAACCTTGGGCAACTCACTTGATCACCCTTGGCTGCCTCAATTTCCTTTTGTGGAAAATGAAGAGGCTGGTGTAGGTGTTCATCTAGGTCCCTTCTAGCTCTTGGCCTAGAACCATATGGCCCTAAAGGTGATGACCACCAGCTCTGTGAGGGCAAATGAGGAGGTCAGACAAGATGAGGCAGTGTGCTATGGTAGGTAGAGCACTTTCCAGGCTTGGAAGGTCCAGGAAGACCTGGGTTCGAGTCTAGTCTCAAATACTAGCTGTATGGGCCTCTTTGGGCCTCTCTCCTCACCTGTAAAATGAGGGGGTTGGACCCAATGGCTCCTATCAGCCCTAATGTTCTAGGATCCTATGGTCTCCAAGGTTCCTTCTATGTGGGGGATTCTGAGACAGTGCCAACATTCACCACAAGGGGGAGCAGTCCAGAAAAAGGACAGACTATGTTCCAGTGGGACTTGGTAGGGCAAAGGTAATGGAGAGAGAGCCTTGAATGTGGAGCCAAACCCTGGGCCTCATTCAGTCTCCTCTCTAAGATGGAGAGAGGCGCTGTGCAGGCAACATGTGGCCAGTAGCCCCAGGTCTGACACCTCTGCCTTTGTTGGCCTCTGAGGCCTCTTCCAGCCCAGCTTGTTCTCATTTGGTGTCAACAATGGTGAAGGTCTGGTCCAGCTGGTACCCTGGAGGCTGGGGAGGGGGAGGGGGAAGGACTGATGGAATAGTTCAGAGGGCCCTTCTTCCACTGACCTCGAGCTGCACTCGCTGCTCCAGGTTCTTGTAGGTACGCTGCAGGAGTTCCTTGGTTCCCAGCACCCCATACCACATCATGTTCTTGGCGCGGCTGCTGTAGGTGGGGGAGGGGAGAGGAAAAGCAATGAACAACTGACAGAGAAGGAAGTGATGGACTGAAATGCACCAGGTAGCAGCAAGCCCTTCTTCCTCAGGCCCTGGAACCCAAGCCAGGCCACTGGTCCAACATGTGCTGCAACACGCTTGGGAGCCAAGGACCTGGAAATCTGCCCTCTCCGGGTGTCAGAGTCCCACCCAAGGCCCTGTAATTGAGAATGAGCTTCTGTCTCTGTTCTTGGCATTCCATGAGGATGTCAACTACATGTGGAAACAGTGTTGATAAAAAGCTACGGGGCAGCTTGGGCACAGGGGCAGGGTCCAGTGGGGTGGGCTGGGATGCAGCTCTCCTTTCTGTTGTGAACTGTCTGGTGCTAATGCTCAGACCAGGGGCCTGGCAGCTCAAGAAGAAATGGCTTGGACAGCCACTGGAGGGGTCGGCAGAGGCCTAAATTCCTGGAGAGCACAGAAAGCAGGTCCACGATCATCATCTGAGAGATGGCAAGAGCGTGGGCTGAGGGTGAAGGTAGTGGGCATGAGGCAGCAGAGAGCATCCAGAGGATTCTGTGGGTGACCTGTGGGTGACCTGGGTGACCTTGGACAAGTCCATAGCAGAGATGGCATCAGGGGGCCTATATTCGAATGCTAGGGCTGCCACTTAGTCTGTATGTAAGCTCAGACACGTTACTTCCCTTTGGAGCCTTAGCTTCCCATCTGTAAAATGAGGGAGTCCTTGGCCTGTTTTCAGGCCTATTGTTTTCGATGCCTTCTTCACTCGTCAGATTTCGTTCTAATATTTCTTCTTTCATGGAGTCACTGCTTCCTCTCTGGCCTGTTCTAATTGTCAGAGAGTTCAGTCCTTGGGGGAGGGCTCCCAGCACCTGGCATCATGTTTCCTCTCTTCTTGTGGCTCCACTTGGACTTGGACAGCTGCTCCCTTCTCTTCTGCTGGGTTTACTCAGGGGCTTCTCCCAGTCCAGTCTTTATTTCTGCACCTCCCTGGTTGGGATGGAGGAGTTTAGGGCTTTTTGTCATCCATTCCTCCTCCTAGAATGTTTTTAGAGCTTCACTGTGGGTCCTCTGGGAGGACTAGGACTCCTCTGGGCCCAGCAGCCCACCACTGCCACAACCTGGACTAGAATCTATGATCCTATGACTAAGGACTTGTGCTCCATGGGCCCATTAATCACTGACTGCCACTGAGGCCAGAAACTACTCAGGGAATTTCTCCTTAACAAATGAATCCTTCTGGAGTGGGCAGGAAGAGATGAAGGCTTCTGAATGGCAGTGGCCTTAGGGAGCAGGCAACAGAGGAGTTGGTCATGTGTCCCTTCAGGGTTCCCATTTCACCATTCTGCCATGGACAGGTAAGGCAGCTCTACTGGCAGATGAACATCTGGGCACAGATTCCTGGAGGTGTAGGAAGGCTTCCCCAAGGGGAAAAATGGGCATAGCTCATGCAGGCCATTGGAGAAAGCCAAGTACATTCCCCAAAGGCAGAGGGTCTTCTCTTTGTAAAGTCAAGGCAAGGGGAGGTCTGCTAAGGGGGCATGGCCCAGCACTGAGGCCATGCCAGGTGCAGCTGGCAAGGTTAGCTGCTCCCGGGAGGATCTCTGCAAATGAACAGGAGGGCCAGGTGGCATGTGGCAAGTAGAATGACTGAGTCCTGGACCAGGGACTGTTCCACTGAAGTCCCTCCATCAGCTGCCCCTGCTTTCTATGGCAGAACTAACCTTTCCCCCTTGGGGGCTGGAGCAGAGGAAAGAGGCAGAAGTCCCCATTCTCCTTGCTGTGTGCTGCCACATAGCAGGAAAAGAGGCTCAGTGTCAAAATACAAAGGTCTCCATGGAGTCATTTAACCAACATGACTCCCAGCTGTTGGTACTGTGGGGAGAAGGGGGCAATGAAGGTAAGAAGAGTCACTTGGGACATACCTGTGTGCCAGCGGAATGGGCCCCAAGACAGCTGAGGCTGGCACACTTCGTCTTTCTGCCAGAGGACTGAAGGGGGCTAAAATGCCAAAGGCAGGGTTGGTATATTTAAATTGGTCTGGCCACCGGTCATGACAGCGTGGGGAGCACATGCTCCTAGGTGCCCATATCGGATTGGGGTGGGAGCCGCGGGAGCTGGGGCCAGAGAAGCACGTGAGAAGGAAAGCTGTGGTCAGGTCCAGTCTCAAGCTACCTGTCTAAATGGAATCAATTGAGTTTCCTTTTAGCTACCAGACCCCGGAAAAGGGGGCCAAGGCTTAAGAATGTTACAGGGATGTAGCAAATCCCCCCTAAGATCATTCCTGGTCACAAGATTGCCTTTGGGGAAGGCAGCCATTGCCATGTTTTCATCTCTATGCTGAACTTGCCCTGAGAACTGAGAGATTTGTGCAATCAAACTAGGTCCCTTCTGGCCCTAACATTTCAGGACTTGAACAAGAAAGGCCCAAGCAGAAACACAGTGGGCAAAGATGGGGATAGCAAGTGATGCCCTTGGATTTGTAGATGGTAGAGACTGGGACTCACATGGGCCACGTCTAGGGCCTTTACTGTTGGTGGCCCTCGGGCTCCTAGCCTGGGCCAAGATGCAGACTTGACAGGAGCCAATCCCAGAGCCAGGGTGGAGTTAGGGTTTTGTTTAATCTGTCCAGTCCCTGAAATGGGGATCCAGGAATCCCCCAAAGGTTGGCAAGTGGCTTTCTACAAGCTATGTGTGATTGGAGCAGAAGAAACCACTTCAGCCACTGCACTGCAGACACATTGCTGTCTTTCCCAGCTCTGCTCCCTACTTGGCCCCGGGAAAATGGCCTTCTTTGTTTCTGGGCACTTCCTGGGTGTTTGTCTGGGACCTGGGAGCCTTTCACCTAATCCATGGACACCCAAGCTTGAGCTATATGTTGAGCTATCCCCTGGGAAAGGAAGAAGCAAGATAAGCCAAAGCAATGAATGAGTCAGGGTAGACCCCCAAGCCTGAAAGCCACATCTAGAAACCCCCAGATCTTGCTGTTCACAAGGTTGTCTGAAGGTGCTATCCAGAGAAGAGAAGCTTCAGGGAGATGCAGTGATTGTCTTCTTCAGTATCAGAAGGGGCATTAACCTCGTTCTGCTTGGGGCCAGAGAGCCACAGAACCCAGAGCAAAAGGGAAAAGATTCAGAGAATCAGACAGAGGCTTGGGGGAGGAGGGGAGAAAAAATTCTGAACAATTAGAGCTTTCCCACAGTGAGACGTGTGTGTGTGTGTGTGTGGGGGGGGTTTCCCTTCAAGGGAGGTCTTCCAGCTGACCAACCATTAACAAATAGTACAGGTAGTACAGGGGACTACCTGGCCAGTGGCCCCTGAGGGCCCTGACAAAGGGCCCTCTGGATTCCATCTGGGAAAGGTGCTAAACAAGGATGTGTGTCCACATGTGTGGGGGGTACGGGGGTGCCTCTCTTTTCCATACCTGCACTTCTTGGGGTGTTCATCTCTTTTGTTGTTAAACTCCAGAGAAATTTTCGCATCCAGGCCAATGCCAAAATAGTTGTTCATGACGCACTTTTCAGAGAATTGGCTAAAACCAACAGATGAGAAGAACAGCATGGAGGTTAGCATGGGGAGTGTTGAGTGGGAGCTATTGCTACCATCACCCTCAATGTCAGCGAGCGTTCCCCAGGGCCCTGCTAGGGTCAGGCCACATGTGCAACCCATTGAGATGCATTCATGGACAGAGAGCAAGCAGCCCCAGGATGAGATCAGACCTCAAGAACAACTCTTGGATTAGCTGTCAGAGGGTGTGCCCTAGCCTAAGGATGGAGTCCCAACTGGGAATCCTGCTAAAAAGATGCCCTGAGCACCTGAAGGTGGCAATGTGCTTGTTATCTGGGAGAGGGAGAGACACGTGGGTTTGGAGTCCCAGGCCTTGGACCCCAGGCCTGGCCCCACCACTTGCTACCAGTGGGCCTCTGGAAGATGAAGGGTTTGGATGAGAGGGCATTTCAGGTGCCTCCCATCTCTAAACCAATTCATTCACCCTCTAAGACCCTTGGGCATGAGTGGCTGGTGTGATCCTCCCCATGGACCCCAGACTGGAATTCTTCCTGTTCTCAGATGACAGGGTTATAGGGAGAGGGGCTCATTGGGCCCACTGGATGGGAAGACTTTCTTCTGGACCCCATGAGGAAAGCAGTGACATTTTCAAACACGTATCTGGGGACAATTATGGAGAAAAGTGAGAACCCTGAAGAAGGCTGTAAAGCAGACAGCCTCATACGATACACATATGCATGTGAGCCTGCACACACTATGGCCTAGGTTTGAACTCTGGCTCTGCTTGTGGATGTCTGTGTGGCCCATGGCAAGTCACTGCACCTCTAGGGGCCTCAGTTTCCCTATTTGTAAAGTGAAGGAGTCAGCCTCATAGAGCTCAATGCTCCCACTGTCAGCATATGCTGAGAGCAGTACCTTCATTTGATTCAGAAATGGAAAGCCAGGGTTCTGCAGATAGGAGAGGTTTTCTCCTTTGCCTATTCATTCTACATCTCAGAGCAGGATGGCAGGCCTCCCTTTCCGCTGCCAAAACTGACCTCTGTGACGGTATCACTGGAGGCAATTGCCAGCGGCTATGAGAATGGCACAGGAAGGAGGCAAGGGTGAGTGAGTGATGTAGTGGGACACAGAGCCTCCTGAACCCTCGCCAGCCAAGCTTGTGCCTGGCAGTGTGCCCAGCCTCTGACAGCCACCCTCACTGGGCAAGTTCTTGCCTGGGAGTGTCACTGGAGGATGACCAGGCCTGTACTTACATGGTAACGGGCTCCTCAGCAAAGTTGCTCGAGCTTGAGTCGTCAGGTTGGTCCAGAAAGACAGACGATGTGGTGGAGGAAACGGTGTCTCGGCGGGAATCTGACGAAAGAGACACCCTGACTCAGGGCTCAGCTCTACCTGCCCCACCTTGGCCTTCTGGGTAATGCCCTAGTTAGGTCCTTTCATCATCTGCATCCTCATTTAGCTTCCCCTACCCACCTTTGGGCCAAGGGTGTCAGTAATCCTAGAGCAGCACGGATGGAGCGCTTGGGGCACGCCCTACGCCTGCCCTTCAGCTTGCTCCCACTGGGCTCCATCAGCTTGTAATGGTTAAGTCTGGGCAAATTCTGTTTGCAATGGTACCCTCTCTGCTCCCTAGGTAGGATGCCCAGGAGCAGGCCAAGGCGGTCCTCCTCTCTGCTGCTGAACTGTCAGGTGATGTGAATAAACAGATGGACCAGTGGCTGCCAGGGTTCCCTAATGGCCCCAAGCCCCTTCTCAGGCCAAGGTGATGGTGTCTTATGGCATGATGTCTCCCAAAAGGGGGAAGGGGAATGGTAAGTGAACAGTGGGGGTGGTGAGAAGAATGCTAGATGAACTTTCACCTTCTTCCTCTGGAAGCCTGAGTACTGGGGCTTGGGCCCAGGGTGTGCAAGAAAAGAGAAAAGGGCTGGGGTGGGGCAGGGCCCTTACTGAGCCTTTTGGACTCCTGGCTGATTTCCTCTGGGCTGCTGTCCTTGAGAGAGGCCAAGTCTGGGCTCGGACATGCTTGGGTTGGCTTGTTTGGTTCATCAACCGCTATGCAGAAGGGGAGAGAGGACACTCTGGGAACCTGTTGCATTCAGGTATGGGGTCTGGTCTGGTTCAGGGGTCTCCAGGCCTGGCTGCCAGTGTGAGCTGGGCCTTGTCCTCATCTCCCAGGTGGCTGCCTAGCCCTGAGGAGCCTCCTAGTCCAGCTTGAGGTGGAGTAAGGGTCCCAAACACTGAGTCCTGGGCCCTCTGCTCATCTCTCCTTATTTGTTCACACAGGTATGATTTCAACAACTTTTTGTAAACAGACTGTGCAAGAATCAATGGATTCACAAGCATTTGTTAAGTGCCTGAGACACTAACAATCCACCGAGCTGTGTCCCAAGCCTTGTGCTGGGCTCAGACCTCTCCCTTTCTCTGCTCTGTGCCCTGACTGCCCCTCTGTACCATGGGAGTCCTCCCTCTGACTGTGCCCTCCTCCTGAGCAGCTCAGTTGGTACCAAGGAGGCTCACCAAGATCAAGGCGCTCTACTCTCCCAGCCCAGCCACAGGGTATAGCACTAACCTTGGCCAACTGGCTGCTGGGCCCAAGGAGGGCCTGGCTACCACATGAAAATCCTCTCTGCTGCTGAGCAGCAGGGCCACACGATGTACAGAGGGAGCTTGCTCTCGACCCACTCCCTGAGACAGGTTAAAAGCTCCTCTGCCCTCTCAGCCATAGCTTCCCCAGAGGTGCCAACGAGCAGCCAAAGGGCCTACTAGGCGTTCTTGTTCACACATGGAATCACTGGTCCTAGATGCGCTACATTCTGATCCCTGTTTTCCCCACAGCGTCAGAGAGGGGACGACAGACTTGAGCTGAGCAGCTGGGCAGCTGAGGGACCTTTAGGCTGGGGCTGGGAAGAGGGAAAGTTTCGGTCCATGGCCCAGAGCCCTAGTGGGGCTGGTGGCCATGCTGCATCCCACCAGGTAAGCTACTCCTATGAGCCTCACTGCCCTCCTGGCTAGTCAAACTAGGGAAGGGCTGGAGCTGAGCACCATCTTCTCTGGGGACATTAGTAGTCTCATGTTGGATGGTCAGGAGAAGGTAGTTAGGAGGATAAGATGAGAAAACCAAAAGTGATGGCTGGTGGTAGAGGACGCCAGGGCTACTGGGCAGCTCTCATGACTGAGGATGACAGTCAGAAGGTGCAGCAAGGGTTTGATGATAAGTGCCTGGGAGGGGCTTGGGGCCAGCCTGGCTCCCACAGGAGGGGGCAGCTCCTGGCCTCTTTGGGCTCTGGGTCAGTGCTTTTACCCAACAGGGAGGTACAGGAGAGACAGTCTCCCAGGACAGTCTTGTGTCCTGTCCCCACTCCCATCATCTGGCCTTCAGTTCTGTCCTGGCCTCCTTACCTTGTTCTGCCTGCTCAATGATCTGCCTTAAGGCCTTCTTCAAGCTGTTAGCTTGCAGCACCATCTGATCCTTGGATCTGAAGGCCGGGGGCACCAAGCTGGAGGGCTGGCACACCTCTGCAGGGGCGCCACCCACGGCTCCCCCTTCAAAGTCATCTTCGTCACCCTCATCTTCTTCCTCTGTGGCCGGAGCAGCCAGCGGGGCATTCTCCAGGTAGCCCATAGCGGCCTGGGGCTCCATCTCTAGCTCCCGAATCAACATATCTGTCCTGTTGCTCACCGGGGTACACTGCAACAGACAGGAATGTGGCCCATCAGAAAGCGGCCCACAGAGCGCCATGGCTCTGGGGAGGCCAGGGGGATGGAAAGGAGCCTTGGAGGGAGCCGGGGACAAAAGAGCTCAGTGCAAAGGAGAGTCCAAAGTCTGAGCCAGGGAAAAGAAGAGAAAGGAAGGGAGAGACACACACACAGAGACACAGGGACAGAGAGAGCTGGAGGAAGATAAAGAAAAGGAAAAGGAGGAGGAGGCAGCAGCCAGAGCCAAGCCAGTCACCCCTGCATACTCTGCTGCATAGGGCCAGTGATGGACAGAAACACGTCGGCCTGTCTTGATTGCTGTGAGGAAAAGCAACAGGTATATGTTTGCATGAGTAGATGGCTGGCATGCAGGGGTAGGGACATGCAGTGTGTACACGGCACTGATGGACAAGAGGCATGTTGCTTTGGGGATCGATTCCATGGGTGTACCTGATATAGGTGTACATACATAGGCACGTGACTGGTATGCAGTGAATACATGTGTGCATACTTGCTACATATGTGTCTGGCCATCTGTACCCATGTACACATGTGTACTGGTATGGAGGCCTGTGCATACAATACACACATGCATATGTGTGCATGTATCTGAGGTACATGTGTACAGGCGGCACTCTCCTGTGATATTAGCTAGGACATGGTGGACCCAGATGTCTGATCCGGTGTACTCCTGTGGAGCTGAATGCATGCACATGAGTCTGAGATGCACATGGATGTATGCATATCCATTCGCGTGCAAGTGTGTGCTGCGTAGTGTCTGACAGCTATATCAACACATGTGAATGCTATGTTGGGGTACATGCCTGACACATGTTGTTCACTTGAGCATGGCTATGGGGTAGACATGTGCAATAGTGCAGCAGCTAGACAAAGATACTCTATGTGCACTGCGATGTGTGACAGTATAGCCACGCACACATGTGCGTGTCCACATACCACCACACATGTGCCCAGTGCTTTATGTAAGGGTGCCAACCCATCTGCCAAAGGAATCCATCCCATCTATAACATACCTAGCCTCTGCTTGGACACTTCCAACAACAGGGAACTTATCACCTGTTGAGGCAGCCCCTCCCACTCTAGGGTGAGTCTGGTTGGTAGGACGTTTGTCCTGGTCTCAAGCCAAAATGAGCCTCCCTTCAACTTCCCACCACGGCTCCTGTGTTTGCCCTCTGGGCCCAAAGATAACGCATCTAATCCTTCCAAGGTCTTATCTTCTCTAGGAAAAACACGCCAAAGCACGTGGACTCAGGGCCCTCCCCCATCCTGGCTGCCCTCCCCAGGACACTGTCCAGCTTAGCAGTGTCCTTCTTAAACCATGATACCCAGAACTGAGCCAGTGCTCAAGGGAGGTCTGAGGAGGGACAGTTGCCTCCCTGGGCCCGGAAGCTCTCCCCTTCCTGAAGTAGCCCAAGATGGCGGTAGCTCTTTTGACTGCTGACTCACGCTGAGCTGGCAGTCCATTGACATCCCTCATTCCTTTTCTATCCTTGCCTTCCCCATATTATACATGGAAGGTTGACTTTTTGGACCCTGATGCAGGACTTGACATTTATTCCTTGTGAATTTCATCTTACTAGATTCAGCCCAATGCTCCAGCCCAGTACAACCCCTGAGGATCCTGCCTCACTCTATGGGTGCGTGTGTGCACATATTCCTGGTGTGCCAACGAGAATGCAAGCCTCTTGCCTTCATGCAAGCAGAAATCCGGTGTTCATGGGTGTGGAGTATGTGCAGTTGGTATGCCTGCATACGTACAAGAGTCCTTTAGCCATGAGAGTCCGTATCTGGTGTGTGTATGTCTGTGTCTGCTGGATTCTGTGTGTGCAAGGGTGTCTCTGCCAGACTGGCACACGTGTGTATGCCTGTTGTGTGTATCACCTGACCATGTGTAGACATATAGGATCATTGCGGGTGTGCGTATACATGACTGTGTACACGTATGTGCTGGCAGCAAGCCCGCTCCAGTTGCCATCCTGAGCATGCTGTGGCCCAGCCTTGACAGGGTGAGCTGATGTCTCCCTGAGAAGCAGCCTCCTTTCTCCCGAGCCCTAGAAGTCAGGAGGCTTGTCTCCCTGACTGTGCAGGGGATGGGGCAGTGAAGCCGGCCAGCCCTCATGCAGCTCTGCAGTGCCAACCTCACCAGGTGGCAGGGCCAGTCAGCTGGGAGTGGCAAGGCAAGGCAGGGGCCTTCCTTTCTTGGCTATGGCTTCTGTCTCCTGCATTCTTTGTGGTTTTCTCCTGGGCTCTGCCAACTTTGACCACAAATTCATTGATGGTGTCGCCCAGAAACCTGGCTGGCTGAGACAGATGGCACAGCATCATGGGGTGACGGCATCGCCAGCCTCATCAGCCTCATCAGGAGGGATCTGAAGGCTTGACAAGGGAGCCGGCCTCCACCAGAATCCCGTGGCTCTCTCTTACCCATCTAAGGCTACCCTCAGCCTGTGGTCATCAGCAAGTCTTACTCAGGAAGACAAGTGGCCATTCTGTCTGAGCTGGGCATGGGGGCAGGAACTCAGCAGGAGACTAGCCCTTTTCCCTCCTTCTTTCCCCAGGCCTGCAGGCTGCCTGGGAGCCTGTCCATAGCAGGGTGTTCCCAGGAGGTGGGCAGGTCTGACCTGGCAGAATCGATGCCACTGAGTGCTTGTCTGAGCCGAGGAGCTTGGCCGGGTAGGAGGCCACTGAATCCATGAACTGCCCCGTAGGGCCCTAGGGGACAAAGGAGACCACCATCGGCGACCCCAGCCCTGCTGCTGCTCTGTGCTCCCTTCACCTGCTGGGTGAGCCCCCTTTCCTTCAGTCTCTCTCCCTCCCTCTCCCCATGCCCCCCATGGCAGGATCCCCACAATCTGCCACCTCCCCACCAAGGTAAAGGGCAATAGGCCACTGATATGGGAGGGAGGGAGGTGGGGCCCTGATTCCCTCTTCACACTGGTCCCTCTGGGGAGGCTCCACCTGGATGCGTGTGTGTACATGTTTGTGTGCACGTGTACAGAAGAGTGGGGAGGGGTTTGCTGTTATGTACATGTATGAAAACTCACATACGTGTAAACTTGTTGATGTGTTTTGGTATGGCAGTCACATGTGTGCAGTGAGTGAGCTCAGAACACGGATGAACAATCCACAGCAGGCCCAGGCATATAATCTAACATACACATGCATGCTACATGCATCAGGCTGCCCAGAACATGCCTATTTGGGCGCCCTCCAGGCCCCTGCTGGGCCGCTCTGGGCTAGAACGTCCTAACTGGAGAGACCTTTAGGGACCATCTAGTCTGACTCCCTCATTCGACCTCCCCCAAGTGAGGGAAGGGCTGGACTAGATCGCTTCTGAGGACCCTTCCATCTTTAACACCAAATGCTGCCCTGGGCCTCAGTTTCCTTTTCTGTAAAATGCAGGGGTTGGTCCAGATGACCTCTGAGATGTCAACAATCCTCACCACAGGATAATTGGCGTCCTTGCCCCCTTTCTCTGCCCACCTACCCCCTTCCCCACAATACACCATGGTGGCATCTTTCACATGGCAGGTTCTCTGTGTCGCCAGGTGACCGGAGCATTGGCCATGCCCGTTCCAACTCCCTCCCCCCCCCCGCCCCGAGCAGTTCACCATGCTTGGGTTACCAGCTGTGGCTGCCCTTGCAGCAGCCCCCCTTCCCCCGAGCCCATCATCAAATATGTCCCAAAGCCAAGGCTGCCCCCCAGCCCTGCCTCCTGGGCCAGCCTTGGAGGACCCAAAGCTACCTGGGGCTGGGAGTGCTCCCTCAGAGCCAGATTCCCTGGAAGGTAACCCAGAGGAAGACAGAGTTTAATCATTGATCTCTTTGAGGCCTGCTTCCTGGTTTCTTTTATGCCAGGCTTGATTTCTTTTGGGTCTTGGATCAGTGGGGACATGCTAATATGCAATAGCCCCACTGCCTCCCCCCCCCCAAGAAAAAAAGAAGGCAAAACAATTCTCAGAAGCTCTTCCTGTGGCGGTTTTAGAATGAAGAAGGCTTTGGGGCCTGCTCAGCTCAGGAGGCAGAGTGCGGTCTTCGTCCCAGTGGCCATGGCCATGCAGGCTGGCACCCTGGAGACGGTAGCCATAGTCATGCTCCCCCCAACCTTCCTTTCTGGGCTCTGCTCTTGCCCCCCTCAAATAAAGAGGGGCCATGGCACTAAGCTCTCACCTGTCCAGCCCTCCGTGTGAGCACGCCTCCAGGAGCCTCCCAGGTCAGGACACTCCATCTGAAGGGAAGGAGAAATGGGCCTTTGGGGCACTGCTGGGTCCCAGACCTGCCTGGGCAGCCCAAGTGCCATGCCAAGCGTGGGAAAAGGCTAGCCAAGTATGCACGGGCCCTTTACTTTGTCAATGGATTAGTTTGCTGGGGGTGGGGTGGGGCCACACACCTGGGTGGTCTTCTGGATATGGCCAGGCCCATCTCCCACAATCCAGTGGGCCTGGGAGGGACATGAGATATCTGTCAGCTCTCCAGTCTCGAGGCCCTGGCCACTAATTCTACAGGTGGTAAAGGGGAAGTGTAGGGAATGGGGTAGGACTGGGGATGGGGGGAGGGGACTTGGCTGGTTGAGTGACCCCATTAGTGGCCCCATTAGACACTAGCCCTGGTCAGGGCTCCCTTCACCTCTCTCTGCTCCTGAAGGAGAAGGGGCACCACTATTTCAGTGCTGATGAATTCTCAGAGGCAGCAGAGGCAAGGAGGCTCTTTTAGCCTCCCCCCATCTCTTCCCATCCCCACCACTGCTCCTGAGCTTAAGCCAAAAGTCACCCACTGCCTCCTGTGCCCCAGGGTCCTAGTGAGGCTCCTTTCTCCTCTCAGGAACTCAGGAGCAGAGATGATCTAGAATCTCTCAGGGTCCATGGGATGTGGTTTAGAGGAGAGACTTTAGTCCAGTTTGGAGGGTATGTGGAAGCCCCTGCCTCCCCACAATGTGGCCATCCAGCCTGGCCTCTTAGGGAAGAAAGGGGCCTACTGTGGTATGCCTCCTGCTTGCTAGAGAATGGCCCCTGATGGGAAGGAGAGCGGGCAGCCACCCGTGCTCTAAGGAGAGATGGGGCGGGCGCTGCTGCGTACCTGTCCAGCATCTTGGTGGTAGCCCGCTCCATCTTTTCCAGAATCTGCAGGAGCTGAGTATCATCATCACACAGGCTTCCCCAGCCGAGCACACGGGCCAGATCGTTGCCAGTTCCCAGGGGCAGGACCCCAAGCTGGCACTGCAGCAGAAAGGAAACTTGTTGTGTGGGCAGCCCTCCAGCCTCGCCCTCAGAGGAGCATGCTCCTGCTCACTGAAGGGAGGGAACGTTCATTTCTGTCTCTGCCTCTCCTATACTCAATGTACCATCCCATGCACCGATGTTACTTAATAAGTCTTTCTTGCATAGTGGATGGATGGATGGATGGGTGGATGGGTAGATGGAAGGATGGATGGGTGGATGGATGGATGGAAGGATGGATGAATGGATGGATGGATGGATGGATGGATGGATGGATGGATGGAAGGATGGATGGATGGATGGATGGATGGATGGATGGATGGATGGAAGGATGGCTGGCTGGCTGGCTGGTAGGCAGGCAGTCTGGCTATCTTGGTAGCACATGCCACAGCCTGGCTCAGGTTCAGTGACTGGGTTGGGAGTGCAGGCTTGCTGTCCCCAGGGGTCACTTCCTCTGGAGCTTCTCTACCTTTTTGTCCATCAGTTTTCCCTCCCAGGGACTCTTTTCCTGGAGGTGAAGGTGGGAGGGTGACTGTTTGGCCCTCCTGCCAACTCCTTGCCTTCTCATGCCCACACTTGGTTGACCAGGCAAGGGACCAGCTGTGGGCCCAAGGTGAGAATGCACATGCTCATGTTAGCATGAGATAAAGGGCAGGAGGCCAACCTCAGTGGCAGGAAATAAGCCAGCAAGGTGAAAACATCTGCTTCCTAAACCTAAGCCAATTGGTAGCACTACTGAGTCCCAAGGGGCCCAGGCAGAGGTTCTAGCAGCCAAGCTCAGCCTTGCCTCTCCCTGACTGGGGACAAAGAACACGAATCCACCAGCCTTTTCAGAAAGGCAGTGGGCACTGTGCCCATACTCACCTGTTTGTGTAATCCAAGAGTGTCAATTTCAGAAAGAACCCAGCCCACGCTGCCATCTCCACCACACACCAGAATCCGGAAGGTGGAGAACCTCTGGAATAGACGGAGCCTAGCCGGGGCGGGGTGGGGGGGAGGGAGAGGACAAGAAGAGAAGCTCAGATGAGGAGCAGGAGGGGGTCTTCTGCGCTCAGCTGTCTCCCTCCCCACTAGGGGCTTTGTCTGCCCTGGTCCGACTAGCCCTACCTAGTGCCAGTGGCCAGGGCCAAATCAACAGCAGCTTGGTAATGGGGAGCTGGAGGAGGGGGAGAAAGATGGGGAGTGCTCTTGTCCTACAGGGGCCAATGCTGATGATGGGCTAGGGCACTTTGAGATTTGCATGGCACGTCACACAACCACGCTGGGATGTAGGCACCATTATTGCCCCCATTTTGCAGAAGAGGAAACTGAGGCTTAGAGACAGGAAGTGCCTAGGGCAGGGTTTCCTGACACAAAAGCTGGCTCTCCCGCCTACGAGAAATCTTGAGTGATTGACTGTCCATTATCCAAAACCAACTCTGCCTCAAATAAGGGTGGGCCCTCAGCCACCAGAAGCATCAGGCTGAAGACAGCTTCCACTTAGATGGGCACAGGGAGGGGGCAGTAGGTAGTGTGTGAACTCCCGGGCCCACTGGCAGCCTGGCCAACCATGGTTTCTAGTTCCTAGCCCCAAAGCCCACGTTTCCCAGGCCTCTGAGTGCCCAAGGGGCCACACTTTCCCTGTTCCGTTCCAGCACTGACCCTACACACCCTCACCAGTGAACTGTGACAGCCCCGCTTTCTTCTTAACAAGGACATTGTTCCCAGGAAGTGGGGCCCAGGGACCAGCTTTGGCATGGCTTAGGGCCATCAGCTAGGGGCATCAGAATCTGGCCTAGACTGAGAAGCCCCCCAGAGCACCCTGTAATGTCCATTAGGAGTGCCAGGGGCAAGGAGGAGAAAGAACTCTGGAAATCTGGATGAGGTTCTTCAGCAGAATAGCCCTGGGCCTGCCTCCTAGTAGGCAGCTCATGGGCCTTGGTGCCAAAGGACCCAGGCTCATCTTTTGCATCTGAGTGACCCTGGAAAAACTCCTTCCCTTTTCTGGGCCTCAGTTTCCTTCTCTGTCCAATGAGGCCATTGGACTCAGTGACTTCTAAGGAGTGAGAAGACCTGGGCTCACATCCTGCTTCTGCTGTTAACTAGCTGGGTGACCTTGGACAAGTCATTTCCCTAGCCCTCAGTCTTCCAATATGTAACATGAGAGGATTGGCCTGGATGATCTTGAAGGGCCCTTCCAGCTTTATTAGAGCCATGATGCTATGAGCAAAGGGCAGAGGCCAAGAGCTCCAGATGGGAATGCTCAGAGGGAGGAAGGCTTTCTCCCGTGGCTGAGCTCACTTACCCCAGGTGAGGCCCCCCCATTCATCAGGTCGAACACTTGTGCCGGGTTCAGGAACTGTTTGAATTTCCGGAGGAAGCGAACACCTTGGTTGTCACCACTCTTGGAATTGACAAAAGCAAGCAGAGGGCTGGAGCAGGCTCCTGGGCAGGAAGCCTTCCAGAACCCTGGAAAAACCAAAGGCCCTGATGTAGAGCACTGCCAAGAGCAGGCAAGAGGTGAGTGAGAAGGCAGGCGTCACTGGCCTCCGCTGGGCTGCAGCACGCTAACTCCCGAAACATCCCCAAATAGGCATGGACGGGGCAGGGAAGACTCCTTGGGCCCAACGGCCAGCGTCCCACCTTCCCAGGAGGCAGGGGCCACCATAACACAGCCACACCCCGGGGCTTCAGCCCAAGGGACCAATGCCAGTCTTCAGACTGATAGGAGCAAAGCATTGGCGGCCAAACTGAAGCCTGGCTGGTCCTCACACTACAGGCGTTCTCTGAGGGCTGCTGCTGGAGGCGGTGGCCTGAGGGGCCGGGAAGGAGGCTTAGGCAGGTGGGACCGCCCAGGAGTCATGAAGGAAGGAATCCCCGGAGGACCCCTCTTGGACAGGGCCTGAGGGATTCCATGCCAGAAAGGAGTCCAAACACCAGAAATCCAGCCCCCCAACCTGCCCTGGGCAGTTTGTAAGCTCATCCAGAGCTCTGCCACAAAAGGCAGAAGGGGCAGGGGAGGCCAAAATGCCAGAAGAAAAATGGATGAAAATGCCTCAGATGGCCATGGGATGTCAAGGGCAAGACAGGAGTTACAGTGAGAAAGGGCCAGGCAAAGCTTACTCTCATTGTCATTCTCTTCCTTCTTCCTCCCTCTCCTCCCTCCCTGGCCCGTCTTCCACATGCTCACGCACCTCCCAAACTAGACTATTCCCAGCTCCTGGCTTTCCCACCACCACACCTTTGCTCATGTTGTTCCCTTATTGAAATCCTGACCATTCTTTTAAGGCCCCCCTTACATGCCATCTCCTCCTGGACCTCCCCTAGTACAACTCCCTCCTTGTCAGACACTTGGTTTATACCTGTCATCTACTTACTGACAATTAATCCTCCTCCTCTTCCTCCTCCTCCTCCTCCTCCTCCTCAGCTGAGAACTCAGTCAGGGACAGAACTCATCTATTCAAGCTGCTCCCAGAATCCTTGTTGCTCTTTCCTCCTCCTTCCTTTCAGCCTCAGAGGACAAGGTGGCTCTACCCTTGCCTCAGTCTACTCTCCTGGTGCCTTCCTACCTCCTCAAGGATCTGCTCCATCAGTCACTGCTGCTCCAAGCACCGCCCCCCCACCCCCTGCCGCCTCATTCCGCGGATAACAAGCCCTCTCACTTCCACTGTCTCCTCCAATCCAGCCTTGATCTCCTACTGCTCCCCCCCATGTACTCTACGCATCAGGGAAAATGGGCAACTTTCGATCTCCCAAATGAAGCCTGGGTTTTCCTGGCTCCATTCTTTCACATAGGCTTTATTAAATCTGGAATGTTTCCCCTCTTAGCATACAGAATTAGAATTGACTTAGAAAACTTGTAAGACATACTGATCAAATCTGTGGATGCTACAAGGCTGGAAAGGAGCATTAAAATACTGGGTGAGATTGGACCCAAAGTGATTTTGAGAGCCTGCAATGCTTAGCCAAAGCCCATGGGTCCCGCACTTTGGTTTAAAAAAACAACAACCCCAAACCCACCAACATCAAATGCACAAGGATAGACTGGGGGAGATTTGGATTGAAAAAAGAGTTGAAGGGTTTAGTGAACCACCGATTCCACAGGACTCAACTATAGGATTCAACTGCTTAAAGAAAGTCAATGCAATCTTCACTTCCATTGATACTTGCATCCAGATCATCTAACTATGGAATGATCTCACTGTACTCTGGCCAATGTAGGCGCTTAGACTCTGATGGGAGGCAGGTCTTACTACAGTCATGTGAGGGACACGGGAAGGACTGGGAATCTTTAGCCTGGAGAAGGGAAGACTTGGGGGTGGGGTGGGCCATTTGAGGGGCTGTTCTGTGGAAGAGGGAGTCCCTTGGTTCTGCTTGGCCCCTCTGGGCAGAACCAGGAGCAGGGGGTGAGCATATGGGAACCAGAACTCCACTTACTACAAGGAGCACCTTTCTGATTCTTAGAGGAAGCAGGAAGTTCTGTAGGAGGGGGGGCTGGGCTGCTGTCCCCATCCATTTTCCTGCTGCCTACAAACACGCTCATGCCTCCCCATCCACAAAAAAAAAAAGAGAGCAGCCATTACTTGATTCCTTCCATCCCCTGTAGTGTATTATCCCCTAGCTCCTCTGCCCTTTGTGGCTGACCTCTTTGAAAAGGCTGTCTACACTGGGTGCCTTTACTTTCTCTCCTCTCTATACTTAACCCTCACAATCTGGCTTCTGACTCATCTTCTCATTCCACCAAGACAGTTCTATCCAACAGCCTCCTCTCAATCCTCATCCATCTCAGCCTTTCTGACCATCCTCTTCTCGATATTGTCTCCCTGTCAGCTTTTCTGGACACTGCTCTCTCCTGGATCTCTTTCTATCAGACTGTTCCTTCTCAGATTCCTTTCTTGGAGCTTCATCCAGGTCATGCCCACTAACTTTGGGTAGCCCCCTTCTCTTCTCCCTCTATGCTACTTCACTGGGTGATCTCCTCAGCTCCCATGGATTTAATGACCATCTCTATGCTGAGGATTCTCAAATTGACCTATCCTGCCCTAATCTCTCAAAGTGGAAGTTCAGTAGACATCTTAAATTCAACAGGTCCAAAACAGAACTCATCATCTCTCTACTTTCCAACCTTCCCTGTTACTGTCATCATCCTTCCAAGGGCCCAGCCCTATAACCTAGGTGTCATCCTCGGATCCCATGTCTCACCCAACATATCCAATCTGTTGCCAAGGCCTGTTGATTTCACTTTTGCAATCCCTCTCGAATAGGCCCCCTCCTCTCCTCTGACACATCCACCACCCTGATGCAGACCCTCATCTCCTCATGCCTGGACTATAGCAGTAGCTACTGGGGAGGGAGGATGTCTGCCTGCCCCAAGTCTCTCCCTATTACAGTCTATCCTCCATTCAGCTACCAAGTGATTTCCCTAAAGGTCTGACCATATCATCTCCTACTCAGTAAACTTCAGTGACTCCCTAGTATCTTCAAGATCAAATGCAATATCTTTTGTCTGGTATTGAAAGACCTTTATAACCTAGGATGCTCTCTCCTCTTCCAGTCTTCTTGCATCTTATACTCCCCCCTAACCCATGTACTCTGAAATCCAGGACCAGTGGCCTCCAGGCAGTTCCCCAAACAAGACAAGACACCCCATCTCTCCACTCTGGCCATTCTTGCTGGCTCTCCTGGTCTCTGCCAGCTAAGATCTCACTTTCCAGAGGAAGCCTTTCCCACCTCTTCATTCTCAGGCCTTCCCTCTGCTAATTATTCATCCTGCACATAACCTATTTGCACATATTTGTTTGTTAGACTATGAGCTGCTTGAGGGCAGGGACTGTCTTTTGTCTTTCTTTATATCCCCAGTGCCTGGCATGTAGCAGGTACTTCATAAATGTTTACTTCTTGCCTGTCTTTGTAGGTGCTAATGCTAAGCATGGGACTTTGACAAGAGCAGGTGCCTAACAAACACTTGGCAACTTGGCTGCAATCAGTAAGTCAAGCAGCCACTGCTGCCCAGCCCCCAGGGCAGCCTAAGGCAGGTGGCAGCCATTCCCAGAGCTGGAGGGAAGGCAGCCCTTGAGAGAGGCCCTGCTGGTGCTGACTCTGCCTCCCGGAGGGCAGGCTGGGGGAAGGGGGCTGGAGGAGAAAATTGGGCAAAAGAGGTGACAGAGTGGCACAGAGGCTCAGAGCAGCTGCTGGCAAGCAGCAAAGGCCACAAGAGAACCCTGAGGGCGAGTGGATAGCCACAATGAGCCTGGCCTGGCTGTGGCAAATGAGGAGAGACTTGATGGTGCTATGGGGCCCTGACAACCAAAAAGCAGAACAAGAAAGAGCACAAGAAAGAGAAAGAAGGGAAAACCAGCTCGTATGAAACAGAAGAGTGGGCCAAAGTCCTGGCAGGGCTGATATGGCCACAACTGTGGAGGAAAGGCACTGCTTCGAAAGATTGAGGAATGCTGTTGGCAGCCAGCAGGGCTATCTTTGCAAGTGGCAGAGGCCTGGGGGGATGCAAGGAGCCATAAGCAGGAGGCTCTTTTCAGAGCCAGGTTCCCCCACCCCACCTCTAGAGAGCCTGGAACCCCATCACTAAGGCCACCAGCTACAGAATGGCCCACTGTGTCCAGGGTGTAATTCACTGTCTGCTCATATTTATCAGGAAAGGCTCAAATCAGAGCCCTTTGGGGGCGAGGCAGAAGCAGGGCCTCATGGTCCTGGGGGTGGCAGAAGCGGGCAAAGGGGCAAGGCAGGGAGACCCAGCTCTTAGCTTAGGAAAGCTCTTAGGGCTCACCTCCTCTCTAAGGTTCAATAGGAGATAAGGAAGGAATCTTCTCTTAGCACTCATTACTGTCCACCCTTCTACCCAACCAGCCGCCAGTCTTAGCAGCCGTCTTGCCCACTTCCCTGATCGGATCCAAGGGTGGAGGAGCGTCCCTGGCCTGGGACAGCCACCCCAGCTGCAGTGAGCTTCTCAGACTCCAGCACCATGGACAGCCGAGTGGGCACTTGGAGGAGGGGAATGGAGCTAGACACCCAATGGCCAACTTCCCAGTGTCTGTGTGGGTGGGGAGAACTGTGAGCTGGACCTAGAAGGAGCGTTTTGTCGATGCATTTCTCCATCCATCTATGTGTTACTACATCTGTGTATGTACATCTCTATGTATGTGCTTCTATGTGCTCGGGGCTGTGGGGTGCTTCTGGGGCTAAGTGTATTATGTGAGTAGGCAGCTCTGCATATGGACGCATCCAGGTGGTTTAGAGCAGGTGTGAGGAGGATGTGAGAAGGGGGCCTGCCAGCCAGTGAATGTGCAGTGTGCGCGTTCTCCGTGCTAATAGCCCTCATGCTGGGCTTTAGGGTCTGCTGGAATCCCTGCTCCGTTCTGGCCTCTGACATAAGGGGAAGAGGCCACCTGTCTATATTTCTCTCCTCTGTCCTCTGCCATGGACAGTTATTGTGGGGAGCAGACACACTTGGGTCCTAGCTGGGCAGCGAGCCTCAGTGGGGGGGGTGATTTCTGAGTCAATGAGCTAGGCTCTCCCCTTGGGAATCCTGTGTGGCAGAGCTGGCTAAAATAGAATATTGGAGAATAAACAGGGAAATAAGTGGGCAGGGATCGCTGCTCCCCCAGCCAGAGAAAGTGAAACTGACCACACACGGAATGAAATTCACCAGGGCGTGGGATTCTGGCTTTAGCTTGGTCCTAGCGTGTCAGTGGCAAGTAGATGGCTTTAAAATAATAATAATTAAAAAAAGACCACCACTATTTTTAGGGGGCTTTAACAGGTACTTCTGGTCTTGTTAACTGAGTTCCTGCCCCCTCCATGACTAATGGAAGAGCAGCTGAACAACTAGAAGGCAGAAGCAGCAAGATCGTGGAGAGCAAAGAAGGAAGCAGAAAAGGGAGCATATGGAGATCAGCAGGGCCAGATGGAGCCAGAGAGTAAGGGGAGGCGGGGCCCTGGGACTGACAGAACCTAGGAAGCCGAGACCCGCCCACTGAGCCTGGGAATCAGAGCCTCCCGAAGTTCTCCTATCATCCCCCACCCCATCACCATTCCCTGCAGGATCCCTTTCTCATCTATCTCCAAACATGTTCACAGCTCTCCTGTCATAAAATAATAATAATAAACAACAAAATACACAAATAAAACGTCTTCCTTGGACCCTGGTCTCTCCCCTAGATACCATTCTTTCTCTCTCCCCCTCCCTTTCTGTCTCCTTCCTTCCCTTCGTCTCCCTCCCCCCTGTTTTTGTTACTCTATCTCCTTCCCTTCCTTTCTTTCCCAATGTCTCTCTCCTCATCTTGCCTTTCTGTCTCTCTCTCCCATTCCTTCTCTGTTTCTCTGTCTCTCTGTCTCCTTCCCCACTCTGTTTCTCTCTGTTACTTCGTCTCCTTCCTTTCCTTTCTCTCCCAATGTCTCTCTCCCTCTTGCCTTTCTCTGTCTCCTTCCCCCCATTTTGCTCTTTCCCCCTTCTCTGTCTCTCTCTCTCTCTCCTTCCCCCGTTTCTCTCTGTCACTCTATCTTCTTCCCTTCCTTTCTCTCCCTCTGTCTCTCTCCCCCTCTCTCCTTTCTTGATCTCTGTCCCCTCTCTTTTTTGTTGCCTTTACTCTCTCCTTCATCCCTGGTGATCTGGCTTCTCTCCCCACTACGTTATTGAAACTGCTCCCCTGAAGATTCCTGACAGCCTCCTAAAGGCCAGATCTGTTGGCCTTGCCTCAGGCCTCAGCCTCCTTAGCTTCCAGGCTGACTTAGATGCTGCTGTCCACTACTTTGCTCCCCCTTGAATTCCTGGACACTCTTGCTCTGCTCCCTTCCTACTCCTTGGATTTCTCCTCCTGTGCTGCAGGGTCTGCCATCCCCTACATGAAGGCCAAAGCCTTCACTCTTGGGCCTTGGCAGCGAGATATAGTATGTCCTCCAGAGATCCCATCTACTCTCAGTGTCCCAGATAGCCTGTCTACAAGGGCCATTCCCAAGTCTATAACTCTGGCCTCTAGGCTACATGCCTAAAAGCAGACTTCCCAGCTTTAGCTCCCCCTCGGAACTTCCTTCTGTCTGTTAAGAGCTCTCATCTGCAGCATGGGCCCCCCAGGCCACAAGATCTTTTCTTCCACTTTCTGTTTCTCCAATGTACCCTTTTGTCTCTCTCTGTTGCCTCTGTTGCCCTGAAGGTCTCAACTGGAGCTCTGCATTTGCCTCCAGGCTCTTTCCTTTCTAATCCAGCAGAGAATCCCAGCATCTCCAGGGGCTGCCTAGGCCCACCTGGGCCTACTCTAGAGTCTCTACTACGAATGAATGAATGAATGAATGAATGAATGAGCCTCCTTTACAGACTGGCCACCTCCCCTGTGGGGAGGTTCTAGAAGCCAACACATTCCTGCACTGGGAGAGCCCAGTTGGGTTTGGTTGTGGCTTCCACATTAGGCTGTCGCCTCACTTCCCCTCTAGGTTTCACAGCATTAGGTCAGCGTTGTGGTTTCCCTCTCTGGCTCCCTTCCAGTCCCAGCTAAAACGTCCCCTCCTCTGTTGACTGTATCATATGGCTCGTTTGTACCCAGATGTTTGCATGTCATCTCCCCCCCACCTAGACTGGGTGCTCCTTGAGGGCAGGGACTGTCACTTGCCTCAGTGCTTAGCCCAGTGCTGGGCACATAGTAGGAACTTAAGAAAACCTCATTGAATTGACTCGACGGTTCTCCAGGACTAAGCCGATGTTTTTCACAAGCATCACTGCCAAGCAACTCAGTCTCCCTCCTATCTTTGTGCTGATCCCTGCCACGCACCATATGGCCCTGCCAGGCGAGTCTCACTCAGGCAGGCTTTCGTCCAGGTAGGCCCTTGTGCTCAGAAGCCTCGGATTCAGTAGAGCTCACTTGACTCTCGGCAAAGCCTAATCTCATTCAGGTGGGCACCTTTCTGCATCTGAACGTTCTCCCCAGCTAGACCCTTGACTCTGATAAGGCACAGCCTGGGTTGGCACATCTTGGCATTCCCAGGACACAGCACACAGCAGGTGCTCAATAAATGCTTTGGTACATCTCAAAGAGACTCCATTTAGGCCTTTAGGCAAGTCCCTCCTGCTTTCTGGCTCTTTACCTAGTCAGGCAAAACTTAGCTTTCTTAAACAAGGGAAAGAATCAATCGCCCTGGATTTTGGAAGGACGCCCTAGACAGAGTGAATTAGCCTGTGGATTAGCCCATGTTTAGCAGAAAGCCATTAATGTGCTCTTCTGTCTGGGAACGGTGAGGGTCAGAGCCAAGTCGGGTAACTGAGAAACAATGCTCCAGGGACTGCCGAGAAGGGAGCTGAGCCTGCTGCCCCCAGCCAGGGGCAACGAAGGGCACCGAGAGCCCCCTGCTCTGTGGGGGTGCCGTGAAATCACCCTCTTCCCTTACCCTGCCTGGTTAGTGGTGGGCCAAGATCCCCCGAGGGAGGGAGGGAGGAGTGTGGCCTTCAGGAGTCACTCCAGTTCCTCTTGTATTTCTGAGGTTTCCAGGGCATTTGCCTTCCAGCCAGAAGTGCCCACAGCCCTCTCAATCAAGAATTATAGGGAAACTGAGGCGATTCTTCAACATCAATGCCAATATTGGGGGCCTTGGGGGCTCTTGGTACTTACCCCATGCTCTAACTAGAAGGCAAGGGAGGGCCATCAGCCCCTCGTCCAAGCACCTCCCTCCCCATATTTTGGGCGTTCAGTTCCTTCCTGGTTAAAGGGGAGGCCTCTTGGCTACTCACCATCCGAGTCCATGCAGTTCAGAACTGTCGGTGGGAGAATAGATACTCTGTACTGTCCCAGGGGGCATTTCTTAGAAAATTGGTCTCTGCAGGTACCATGAATCTAAAATGATGAGAGGCAGAGACAGAGAAATAGAGAGAGAGAGACAGAGACAGAGAGACAAAAAGAGACAGAGAAAGAGAGAGACAGGGGGAGAGAGACAGAGAGAAAGGAGAGGGGGAGAGAGAGAAAAAAAGAGGGAGGGAGAGAGAGACAGAGAGGAGAAGGAGCGAGACAGACAGACAGAGAGAGAGAGACAGACACACAGAGAGTGAGAGAAAGACAGAGACAGAGGGAGAGACAGAAAGAGGGAGGGGGGAGAGAGAAAGAGAGAGGCAGAGAGGGAGGGAGGGAGGGAGAGAGAGACAGAGAGAGACAGAGAGAGGCAGAGAGGGAGGGAGGGAGAGAGAGACAGAGACAGAGAGGAGGAGTGAGACACAGACAGACAGAGAGACAGAGACACAGTGAGAGAAAGACAGAGACAGAGAGGGAGAGAGAGAGAGAGAGAGGAGAGAGACAGACAGAGAGAGAGACAGGGAGAGAAAGAGAAAGTGAGGGATAGAGAGTATATGAGGGGGAGAGGAGAGAGAGACAGAGAGAGAGAGAGAGAGAGAGACAAAGAGAGAGAGAGAGACAGAGAAAGAGAAGGGTGAGGGATTTGTGCTGGGAGAAGGTTCCCCTACTGCTGACTCTTCAAGTTGGGTTTGAGGGTCTTTGGGTCTGATCTTCCAACCTCCCTCTCCAGGGATATCCTCACCATTCACATTTCTATGGCACGAAGCACTTTACTGTTATCTTCACTGACAGTGACTCTGGGAGGTAGGTGCTATTATGTTCCCCATTTTACAGATAAGGAAACTGAGTCTCAGAGAGGTCAAGTGACTTGCCTGGGGTCATATTCCTGGGCACCCAGGATTTGCACTCAGGTCTTGCTGACTCTGTCCAGCAGTCTAGCTAGTAAATGACACTGCCCCCTCCAGAAGCTTCTGAAAGCCTCCAAGTCTGAGGGGACAAAAGTGGGAGGTCCCAGATGGTAGCTGATGGAGGGCCATGTTTTGCCAAGAGGCTGCCACTTTCACCTACCATTTGCCTCCGAACCAGCAGGAAAGAAGGTGTCAGCCTTTTCCCCGTAGTTCCAGTCTAGAAAACCCTGATCCAACTGTAGGGCAGTGAAAACACTGTTGGCTTCGTGGCCTTGAATCCTGGTTCTGCCACTACCTGTCCGACCTTGGGTGGAACAGTCAACTTCTCTGGGCCTCAGTTTCTACCCTTGTAAAATGAGGAGATTGAGCCAGAAGGCCTCTAACATCCCGTCCAGCTCTCACACTTGACCTCTGACCCTGAGTTTGACAACTACATTGAGATGGGGGATGGGGGTTTGTACAAAGAGCCCGAGGGCCATTCTGTGGCCACACGGCCACCCAGCCTACTCCAATCAGTGACCCCAGGAGGATCAAATTGAGCCTTACAATGGCCTTACACCAGAGGCATTTGTAATCCTGTAGCCTCCGGACACTGCCACACATGCGGTCACATGAGGCACAGCGGGCATTGACGGGCAAGTTCCCTTCCAGCCACTGATGGGGCATTGCCACCTGCACAGGAAAAACAGAATACAAAACTGAGGATGTGAGGTAAGGAAGGAAGCACAGGACCCACCTCCCCAAAGTGGCAGGCCTCCGACAAGGCCCTGCTCCCCCAGAGTCCGAGCACAACAGGCCAAGGTGGGGAGAAGGCAGTGGCTGGAGGCCTACTACGGGGGCCCCCACCTCTGGGCTGAGGAGGTTGGCAAGCTAGGGCCAACAGGCAGGGCAATGAGCCGCTGAGGCTCAAGAGCAGGCTGTGGGAGGCCCAGCCCTGGCCCTAGGCTGCCTCATGCTAGCTGTTCCCTGCTATGGAGGGGCCTAGCCAATGTGGGATGGCTACTGTCTGTACTTACTCCATCTTCGTCCTCAATGATCTCATTGCCTATGGTGGCCAGGGTGGTCCATTTGCAGGTGGAGCTGGCTCGCACAGCACACCGTTTGTGAACTTTGAATTTACACACTATGGGAGAAGCCAGAGAATGTGTGAGTGGGGGACAGCGATGGGAAAGGAGGGATATCCTCCCCTTTCATCCCTCACCCCAGCTGCTAGTAGATACAATGCAAACTGCTATGAGCCCAGCATCCTCAGGGAGGCCAATGAAATCCATAGTCACTCGGTGAGAGGCTGAAAATATGAAAGGATTTTGTATTGCAGGGACTGGGATTGTACCCCCCATCCCCCAACCTCCTGCTTCAGCTGCATGTGGAGGCCAGCAGTAAGCACCAATCTTGGCTCTGCCCCTTTGGCCCCTGGGACCTCAGGCTTCGGCCTTCACTTCTGAGGAAGATGAAGCGGCTGGATGGAGCGGCCTTCACCCTAAATGACTTCTGCACTGCTCAGGGATGCCCTTCACACCCCATCCCCCAAGTCAAGCGGGCGGGTACTGAGTACCTTCACAGGACAGGCCATGGGAGGTGACCCCTGAGAGGGCTTCCCGGCAGACATTGCAGAAGGTGGGGCGGGCATGAGAGCACGTGTACCAGTTGTGAGTGCTGGAGAAGTGATCCGACGTCAGCTGAAAATGCTGCAAAACAAGAGAGGCCCCTGCGCTTCTAGAAAATGCTGCGTGGACGCCACGTAGGCCCTACCAGGCCTTAGGTGAACTTGCTGGATGACATGGAGCTCTGCTCCGAATGACGGGTTAAATGCAGGGACTCGGAGAGCTTGTTACAAGGAAACCAAAGGACAGATGAAACCAAGATTAAAGGGGTAAGTTCACAGCCCCCCGACATCTCTCTCTGCTCAACACTCTCACTTGGCTGTCAGCTCCCATAGCTTCAAGGCTCCTCACTACGCAGTGACTTCCAGAGCCACCTCTCCCATGATGCATCATTGGCCTTTCAGACACAGGCATGTCCCAGGCAGAGCTCATCATCTCCTGCCTCTGCCCCCTGCCCCAAGCCTTCTCCTCTTCTGAACATTCTTACCTTTGAGGGCACTGCCACCTTCCCATGTCACCTAGGCCCTCACCCCTGTCTCATCCTCTCTTCCTCACATAGCCAATCTGGGGCCTAGTCCTTTCATTTCTACCTTCATAATATTTCTTGTACAGAGTGGCCCTAAGAGTTTTGGGACACCCTGGATATGCCCCCTTATCTCCTTTGACACTGTAACCACCCTGATGCACCCTCATTGCCTCCCTCCTGGGCTATGTAACAACGTTTCTCCTGACTCTACTTGGCTACTGTTGTGATCTTCCTAAAGCTCCAGTCTGACCATGTACTCTTCCTGCCCCCATCATGTTCTCTTCAATCTAGGGACATGGGCATCCTGGTGTTTCCCAGCCAAGATATGCTATCTCTCTAATCTGGCAACCCCCATGCTTAGAACTCTCTCTCCTTCCTCCTCTCCATCTCCCGGCTTCCCTCAAGTGCCCACTAATTGCACCCCCCCCCCAGCTTCTGCAACTAGCCTTCCCTCAGGTGCTCCTTGACACTCTGCCTTCCATGGCCCTTAGACTGGAAGCTCCTGGGACGGGGGGGGGGGGGGGGTAGTGGTGGTGGTGGCAGGGCCGTCACCTGCCTTTCTTTGCATCTCCTCAGCGCTGAACCCATTTTCTGAGCTGAGTCCCCTTGCCCACAGCAGTGGAACCAGGAGCCACACATCTTCCCTCTCCTCCTTCCTCACCCTCCCCAGATCAGCAAGTGAGCAGCAGTGGCAGCCTTCTCCACAATGTGCCAGGGCCCCCTGTTAGTTATTAAATCTTAGAGAGTGGCTCGAGGCTCAGGAAAAGGGACTTGCCCATGGTCACACATCTGGGCAGACATCACAGGTGGCTCTTGAACCCAGGTCATCCGGACTCTATTCCATCTCAGCTGTCTTTCATTATGAACAGGTGATGAGAAGACGGAGGAGAGAAGAGAGGGACGAGGGCCCAAAGATTTCTCAGCCTTCCAGAAGAACTGAGCTTCTGCATCCTTTCTCTGCCTCTCCTCTCCATTGCCAGAATTTCCTCTCCCCCCTTCTGTCTTTCTCTCTCTCCCTCTCTCTTCTTCCCTCCCTCTTCCTCCCTCCTTTCCTCCCATCTCTCTCTCTCTTTCTGTGTGTGTGTGTCTCTCTCTCCTTCTGTCTCTGTCTCTGTCTCTGTCTCTCTCTCTGCCAGGCCACTCCTTTAGATTATCTTGTATTCCTGACATTCTGATGGGTAGGTTGGGGTCAAATCTTGACAAAGAAATCCTGTCAACCTTCTTTAACTTTGGCCCATTAGTCAAGGGCAACACCCATCCTGGGTGCCCAGAGATCAAGTGTTCACCCATCTGACAGATGACACGGGCCCGGAAGAGAGCGGAGGTTGCTCAGTGCTGTTACATCAAAAATTGGCTCTACGCTATTACAAGGGCAGGGTGGGCCACACAAGCTGCCTGCCTGCCTGCCCACCCTCCCCCACTGACTGCAGGGCTGGCTGCTGCATGTGAGCTTCTTACTAAGGGTGGGGGAGGCCCACAGAAGACTGGGGGAGGGTGAGGAGGGCTCAGGAGTGGGCCACAGGGCGGCAGAATTCCCTCCCACTTTAGAGGGCGGAAAATATATAGCTTGGAAAAGGAGACTGGGAAAGGACTGCTCTGCAGTTTGAGAAGCTGGCTTGGAATCCTTGCTGTCCCGCTTTCTATGGGTGTGGCCTTGGGCACCCCCTGCCCAGTTTCTTCCTGGGCAGAATGAAAGCCTAGGGTCCATGGGTGGCACCAGGGGAGAGCCTAGTTTTGCCAAGGTGCCAGATCAGCAAAGGCCCTGCTGCCCAACCCACCAAATAGCCACACCTTGTAAGGTCAGGCCAAGATAACGGGGCCACGGAGATCATCACTGCTGCCTGTGGCTCAGCCCCAAGAATGGCTTCCTCCCAAGTCGCTGCCCACCCTCCCTCTAAGTCCAGGGTATACATAGCACAGTCTGGTGCCTGCCAGGGGCAGAGAGCCAGGCCTCTACCTGAGCCTAAATCCCACCCAAGCCTTCTCTCTGGAGCTTTGTGTAAACCCTGGGACCTAGGACTTCTTATAATGCTCATTTTCCAGGTGAGGAAGCTGGGGCTGAAGATCAATGACTTGCCCCGGAACACATAGTTAGAGTCTGTGTAAGGCAGAAACTGAACTCAGGCCTTCCTGACTCCACTCCACTGTCTCTTTGGCTGGGCTGGCTTGTTAAAAGTCATCTGCCCTTCAGCCACACATCACCAGATGGCTTTTGTTTCTCCAGCCTTGAAGGCTTACAAGGGGCTCTACGACCACTGGGCCTCCTTGCCTCTGAGCGAGGCAGGTAGGTTAAGCTAATACCATAGATAATAATGGTGACCATTTAACAGATGAAGGAAGCATAGGCAATTCGAGGTCACAAGAGGGCTCTGATGAGATTTGGAAGCTGGGAGGGACCTCAAAGGTCATCTCGCCTCCTTACTTACAGGGCAGGAGCCAGAGGTTGACAGAGAGGCCAAGGGAAGTGACTTGGCCAAGGTCACACCAGTAGGCAGTAGCAGGTCCCAAGCAAGCCTTCAGAGTCAGTGCCCTTTCCACTGGAGCACACATCTTCTTTTGGGGCTCGGACCCTCTGCCTCCTCAGGAACCCAGACTGGATGCCATCCTGGGTCAGTTTCCCCATGACTCCTTTCCATCCCCATGGGGGAGGGGGTCATGGGAACAGTCTGGAAGAGGTACCCGCAGCCCCTACAGCCAGGAGACCAGCCAGTGTGTTGGCCCAGACAAGCTGAGCCCAGTCATTTAGCTTCCTGAGCATGTTCTGACAAGGACAGCCTGGAAAAATGGTGGTATTCACGGAGCTGCTTGCTTGGCCTTCTCCTAAGCAGTGAGCCCAAGGTCCCAGGGAGTGATGAGTATGGTGGTGTCTCAGCTGCTAGGGAAGGAAGGGGGCCCAGCAGCCTGGGCAGCGCCTGATTCGAGGCCTGAGATGTCAAGAGCCTGATGGCAGAGGAGGCCAACCTGGGGATGGGGAGGTGACAGGAGGGGCTTGTGGGAATCTGGGACAGAGAGAATCAGCACTTAGGAAGACTCCACCCAGGAGACCTGGGGCTGGGCCAAAACACTTGGTGTTGGGAGTGGACTTGGGCTTCCAACCCTGCCTCTGACTAGCTGTGTGGTCCTAGGCAAGTCACTTCACTTCCTCAGCCTTCATTTTCTATCTGTAAAATGGGAATGATAAGAGATAAGAATCCTCCCAGTGCTAATGAGAATCGAATGAGATGGAGGCCAGGGAGCACTTGGCACATGTCCCCCCTCCCCCTCCTTGCCCCATCTTCCCAGGCACTTCAACCGATCCTTATGTGGCCCTTTAACATTAGAGAGGAAACTGAGGTCTAGAGGGCATTTTAATACCAAAAACTGGGAGTGGCCAGAGACCAAGACTCCTCCTCCCCTGGAAGGATAAATTGTCCAACAAAAAGACTGTAAAATCAGGAGAGAGGCCTGAGTTTGAATGGAACAACTGCCATTCCTATCGGTGTGACCTTATACAAGTCACTTCCCTGTGCTGGGCATCAGTTTCCCCATCTGTACAATGAGGGGCTTGGCCTAGGTCAGAGATGTCAAACTAGAAGCCCAGAAAACTCCAGTGCTGAACCTGTAACGTCATTGGGAAAGGTTTAACAAAATCAATAAAAATAAAACCCAGCCTAAATAATGGTAATTTGTGGTTCTCTAAATCCACACGTGGCCTGTAGGGAGCTGCTTCTATTGGAGACCACGAAAGGCCCTTCTGGGCCAGGATTTTGCATCCTTTTCCTCTTGCTGAGCCCAGGGCTTGGGGGGGGGTGATGCGGAGGGTATGGGATATCTCCCATCCTTCCAACTCCCTCTCACAGTGTCCCATGCTTACAGAGTCACTGGGGTCACAGATTTAGAGCTGCAAGAGACCTCAAATGCCACCGAGTCCACCCTTCTTCTACGTTGCCAATGAGGAACCAAAGGCAGAGATGAAGTGACTGGTCCAGAGTCATGCTACCAGTAGTATCTGAGGCCAGATTTGAACCTGGGGCCTCCCGACTCCCTGCCCTATGCCCTAGCTACTACGCTATGCTGTCTCTAGGCCCATGAGGAAAGGGGCTGGCCAACTTGCTTGGCCACAGCCTTCCTGTTAGCTCTGACCCACATCCCCCAGCATGACTGGGCCTTGGAGGCTGGCTTTGGTTTGACTCAGGCCCATAGAGGTGTTTTTATCCCACAGAGGACTCTGCAGCTGCTATCTGCTTTGAGCCTCACGATCATGCTATGGTAGACCTAGTCCACGTCATGCTAACTCCATCTTATAGATGGGGAAACTGAGGCATGGAGAGGTTCAGTGACTTGCCCACAGTTAGGAAGGATCAGAGGTAGGGTCTGAACCCAGGGCTTCCAGCCTCCATGCCCTGCTTTCTTTTCCCTACACTCCGAAAGGAACGGCCAAGATAAAGAAGTCAGATATACGCAGGGCCATGTCTACACAGCGAGGCTGGCATGGGGAAGCCAGTTAAGCCAACAGGGCACAGAAAAAAACCCAGTTTGGAGAGCCCTGCAATCTCCTTGTGGAATAAGGAGATGAGAA